ACAGAACTTTCTTTATGTATGCTACAACAGCAGCAAGAATACTTATTGCAAAGTATTGGAAGACACAAGACTTACCCACACTGGAGGAATGGCAGATGAAATTGATGGACTACATGGAATTGGCGGAAATGACTGGCAGAATCCGTGACCAGGGAGAAGAGTCGGTGGAAGAAGATTGGAAGAAATTTAAAGACTATTTACAGAAATATTGCAAAATTAATGAATGTTAGAATGATGTTGGATTGAAGTTAAGTGGTTTCTAGCTGAACAGGTACAAAAGAAAAGGGAAAAATTGGCTTATAATATGTAAAAATTTAATGTTATAATATATCAAGATTAAAGATTAGGATTAAAAAGGAGGGAAAGGAATTGTTGGATTAACAAATTGAATTGGAATACAAAAGAGGGAGGTATGAGGAGGTCCGGGAAACAAGTAAATGTAAAAGAAGTGATGAAAAGATGGAATTGTTTTTAACTGTTTTTTCTTTTTTGTACTTTGTATTTTTTCTTTTTATTGTTAATTTTTTTATTAATGTGATTTTTCTTTTTATGAAACTTTAATAAATATTATAAATAAAAAAAAAGGAAACCAAAATGCTTGTTTACAAAGCTATTGTACTACCAACCTTACTGTATGCTTGTGAAACATGGACCATTTATAAACGCCATCTCCAACTCCTCGAAAGATTCCATCAACAGTGTCTCCAAAAAAAATTACACATCACTTGGGAAGACAGGTGAACTAATACCAGTGTACTGGAAGAAGCAGAAATCACCAGTGTTGAAGCAATGATTCTTCAGCATCAACTTTGTTGGACTGGTCATGTTGTGTGGATGTCTGATTATCATCTTCCAAAGCAACTACTCTATTCCAAACTTAAAAATGGAAACACCATGCTGGTGGTCAACAAAAGAGGTTTAAAGACTATTTCAAGGCAAATCTAAAAATAATGTTGTATAAACACCAACAATTGGGAAACACTGGCCTGTGAGCGCTCCAATTGGAGAACAGCCTTTACCAAAGGTGTCATGGGCTTTGAATCTGTCCTTCCAGTGAGCACTCAGAGCTGATTTCCTTCAGAATGGATAGGTTGGATCTTCTTGCAGTCCATGGGACTCTCAAGAGTCTCCTCCAGCACCATAATTCAAAAGCATCAATTCTGTGGTGATCAGCCTTCTTTATAGTCCAGCTCTCACTTCCATACATCACCACTGGGAAAACCATAGCTTTAAGTATGAGGCCCTTTGTTGGCCAGGTGATGTCTCTGCTTTTTAAGATGCTGTCTAGGTTTGTCATTGCTTTTCTCCCAAGAAGCAGGCATCTTTTAATTTTGTGACCGCTGTCACCATCTGCAGTGATCATGGAGCCCAAGAAAGTAAAATCTCTCACTGCTTCCATTTCTTCCCCTTCTATTTGCCAGGAGGTGATGGGACCAGTGGCCATGATCTTCTTTTTTTGATGTTGAGCTTCAGACCATATTTTGTGCTCTCCTCTTTCACCCTCATTAAAAGGTTTTTTAATTCCTCTTCACTTTCTGCCATCAAGGTTGTGTCATCTGCATATCTGACGTTGTTGATATTGTAGCCATCATTGCCCTTTAATGAGGAGCTTTAAGCTTTGTGGTATTATTATTATTATTACTATTATATATTCCAAGTGTTGTCTGATGAGGGCAGAATAGTGTGGTACTATTACTTCCCTTGATCTGGACACTACAGTTGATGCAGCCTAGAATAGCATTAGCTTTTTTTGCTGCTGCATCACACTGTTGACTCATGTGACGCTTGTGGTCCACCAAGACCCCTAGAACCTTTTCACATGAACTGCTAGTAAGCCAGGTGTCCCCCATCCTATATTTGTGCATCTGGTTCTTCCTGCCTAAGTGCAAAACCTTATATTTGTCCCTATTGAAATTCATTTTGTTAGGTTGCGCCCAGTTCTCCAATCTGTTAAGATCATTTTGAATTCTGATTCTCTCTTCTGTGGCATTAGCTACCCCTCCCAGTTGAGTATCATCCTTTATAGCAGCTGGAACATCTGAAGTATGCAGCTTGGAAATGTTTACACACCTTTGCTCCTCCCTAGCAACTATTGTCTATTTTGTTGCATTTTAACTTTGTCGAGTAGATAAGGCGCTAATATTCCAAATAAATGATAATATGTGGTTTAGTTTGCAATCAAGAGTCATTGCATTTTTGTTTCATTCATTGTCATAATTTAAGAGGGATTTCTTCAGTTTAGAGTAACATGCCCAATTCCATGGCTCTGTTGCAGCACTGGAGTTTGTACTTTTCCCTCTTTCCTTTCAAAAGGCAATGTGGCACTTTGGGGGAAGGTTGGAGATGACTCAACTTTAAGTGCAATTCGTTTAGGATGTGGCCATCATTTCAGGTATTTGCTGTCATAACAGGAAACTGCAATTGATCACGAGGAAATGAGAGGCGTGCAGCTCGATATTTGGATGGCTATTAATTCTAAATAATGTGAATCCCACCCCTCCTGGTGCCTGGTTAAGTGGTGGTGCTGAGGAAATAATAAACGCTATTGATTTTTATCCTCCCTGTCCCCAGCCAGCTGACACCAGGAAGGTCAGGAGTTCTTCTTTTTTCTTGTTCTTTTTTGCCAGCAGTACAGTGGTACCTCAGGTTACAAACACCTTGGGTTACAAACACTTCAGGTTACAAACTCTGCTAACCCAGAAGTAGTACCTTGGGTCACAAAATTTGCCTCAGGATGAGAATGGAAATTGCGCACCGGTGGCGCAGTGTCAACGGGAGGCCCCATTAGTGAAAGCACGCCTCAGGTTAAGAACAGTTTGGAGTTAAGAACGGACCTCCAGAACAAATTAAGTTCGTAACCCGAGGTACCACTGTAGTCAGTTCTGTGGCAGCACCTTGGCCATGTTCATCTGCCACCATCTTTGCTTCACCAAAGACTGAACAGGTGTGGCTGCAGTTGGCTCAGCAAACACTTTGCTGAGTATGGGAGGCGGAGGCAAAATTTGATTTTGTTTTCATTTCAATGAGAAGCTACCTAATTTTCACTTCTTGAACCATTACGCAAGTTGAAACACGGCTGTATTTCAAAACTGGCACTTCTACAAACTGTGCAATGCAGTTCTCCAGTCAACTGATGTGTAGAAAGATTCATATGTTAGAGGAAAGTATACCCTTCCCCCAAGAATCCAGATATTTGGGGAAACAACATACAAATAAGCGTTAGGGGAAACTGCTTGCAAATTTTGTGTATATTAGTCAAAACTGCATGCACATTAAGATAAATTAGCATGAATATTCTTAAAAGGATGGTTCTCAAACCATTTTAGAAATGTGAAGAACTGAATTTAAGACCGGGAAAATGAGAAACCAGAATTGACACATTCATTCACCACTAGTAGAAAGCACCACTTACCTCTGAAGAAAACTGATCTCCACGGACCAACCTGCATGCCCTGAACTTGACAAGTGACCACATAGACTCTGATGGCCCTGCACAGAATGTCATGGTGACCTTTGTAGTGACAGGTGTCAACAACACAAGCATCCAAGTAGAAAGTTGGGTCCATGGCCTCATGACACCACCTGCATGGCCTATCTTTTCTGATGGAGATGCCACAGTACTGGTCCCCTCTGTTTCTCTGTCTCACTGCATCCTGCAGAGCATCCTGGGACCTCCTCCAATTTCCAGTTGCCTGCAGGTGGGATTTATTCCTTGCCTGAGTTCCATCCTTCATAGCAAAGCTATCACTGTTATTCTGATTGGCATTGCCGCAAGGTTAACAGACAGCATTGGCATAAGTGTTGGGAATAATGACCCTTGCATAGTTGCACCAGTCAAAGCAGACTCTCAGATCAAACTCTGTTTTGAGGAAGCTGTGGAGTCCGCTGATGTAAACCTTCAGTTTATTTTCAATAGGAGAGTGGCAGATCCACGAAGATTCTGTTGACATGGAAAGCATGTGGAAGGGACTACCAAGAGTTGGACTACCAAGAATTCACTGAATCAGTGAATTCAGTAAAGGATGTGTGTTGATTAGAATAAACTGGTGAACTAGTTATGCTGTATGAAATGCACTTCCAAAAATCATCCACTTAGTTATGCTCTTCCTTATGAAGTTGTGTGGATTTATAAATGCAGCTCATGTCATTAGTACGATAAACTTATCAGGGATGGGCTTTTTTGCCTGCTCTTTGCATAAAGTGAAAGCACTGCATTCAAAGCAGCAGCCCTCCAGTCAACATTTTTAAAACCAGATTTTCACATGCTATGTTGCAGTCCTCAGTAGCAAAAAGAAGTTCGTCTGGACAGAAAGTGCCCAGCAATCCTTTGAAAGACTGAAGAAGGCGTTCGCTTCGGAAGAGCAGCTCCTGCATGTTGATCTGGAGAAACCCATGAGGCTAGAGACTGACGCATCCGACAGAGCCATTGGGGCGGTTCTTTTGCAGCCAGGGAGGAGCAAGCAGGAATGGAAACCGTGTGCCTTTTTCTCAAGGAAGCTGAGCAAGTCGGAGCAAAACTATACTGTGTATGACCGCGAACTGCTTGTGATCTATGCGGCGTTTCGCCGATGGAGACATCTGCTAATAGGGCACAGCACAAGATCCAGGTTTGTACTGATCACAAGAACTTGGAATACTGGAGGACCACACGAGCAACCCCTATATTTATTACACACACTTTCTGAAACAATATGAGAACCAAAAAAAACAACTGTCCCTGAAAATTCACACTTAACCAAATTTGGCAATGCAGTTCATACACACACCAATGTTAATAAAAATGCATATATTAGGGCAAATTGTGCATAAAAATGAATATATTTGTGAAAATAACATACAAAATGCATTATATTATGGGAAAATGCTTGCAAAAATGCACACACCAGTCAAAAGTGTATATTAAAATCTGTTTTTAGGAAAAATTCACACTAAAATGCTGAAGCAAGCTCAATAGAGATATATATATATATATATATATATATATATATATATATATATTTGAATGGTTTAAAATGGAGGTGCTCCTTAAGGTACCACAAAACTAGGGTTACCAGACATCCCCGGTTCCCGGGGACAGTCCCTGGATTTGCAAATCTGTCCCTGGACAAATTCCATCCCTAGAATGTCCCCAGATTTGCAAATCTGTCTCCGGGAAATGTGGCAGTGGCAGCCTCAGCAGCCCGGAGCCAGCCTGGTAGCGCAGATGGCTCTGGCTGGCTTCAGGAGCTGCTCGCTGCTCACTGCCGCCGCCACTGCCAAAGGAGAACTGGGGCTGTCCAGGGGTATAGATCTCCTGCCCGCTTCCCCCTTCGTTTTGACAGATCAGGGGAGGCTCGGGAGTTGCGGGCGGGCGTTGCCCAGGAGGGGTGCAAGGCGTGCGGTTTCTCTGCCACGCAAGGTGCAAAGCCCTTCTTTCGCACCCTGTGAAACATAAATGCGCAGTTGTTTTTTTTAAAACAACTGGGCAATGGCCAGTCAGCCACAACTCCCGAGCCTCCCCCGATCAGTCAAAACAAAGGGGGAAGGGGGAAGGAGATCGGGGGAGGCTCAGGAGTCACGGGTGAGCGGCGCACCGTTGCCATTTTTTAAAAACTCTGTGCATTTATGTTTCTTTCACAGGGTTCGAAAGAAGGGCTTTGCACCTTTATACAATATGCATATGTGCTTGGGCCTAGGGTCTTTTGTTTCACCATCCCCACTACTGACTCCCTGTTGCTACTCAGCTTCAGAAATAAAATTGAAAAAAATCTGGTAACAAAACTGTTTTTCCCCCACTGCCAGGATAACAATTTTATATCTGATGTTCATTGCTGCACTATTTTTCAGTTGATAATATTACAGTGTTCATCACAAACAATGCAATTAAGTATTAATGTAACTGATGGGTCACTGAAGAGTCAGCCTTGTTATTGTCAGCTCAGGATTGCTTCTACACAATATAATTCGACAAAATCCATTTTTGTGTTTTTTGTTGTTGTTTTCCAAAGGTGAAACTATGATGTAATTGCCTACATCTCTGCTCAGAAATAAGTTGAAAATAAGCAGATCTGCAGTTCTTGTGTATTAAGAAAGACCAGCCGCCCACAGAGAAATATGCTCCTTTTAGAAGTCTCTGGCCTTCCAGGCATGTAGGACCTCAGCAACGTTTGTTTCCACCTTTCCGCTGGGCATCTTCAGTTCATCAGTGCTGTCATCATTGAAGTTTCCACATGGGGCACACAGCTTCCCTGCGAGGGACTTCCTGACTTTCACTCTCACCTCTCCACTGGGATGAAGGAGAACCTGCACCTGAGAGGCCTGGTCAATCTGCATCCCATCGTGAACTTTGCTCACAGACACCTCTTTAGAGACCTTGTATGGCAGGCTTACTGGACGTCCATTTACCTGGAACACATAAAGATTGGGGCATGAGATCTTGTTTTGATGAAGGCCAAGAAGCCAGCAAGAACCTCAGAATTCACACCAACTAATAAAGGCAAAAGCCAATTAACATGTAGAATACACCAGAGGCTAACTTTGCATTAAGCATCTAAAGTCAAGAAAACATTGGAACCAACTCTAAATAAACTTAAGCTACATCTACTAAATAACAACACCAAGTCAACTTCACCATTCACATATTAGTAACTCCCTAGGTATTCACAACCAGAGTTAAATAATGGTAAAGGGCTCCAGCAGTCACAAAATTAAAAGACGCCTGCTTCTTGGGAGAAAAGCAATGACAAACCTAGACAGCAACCTAGTTATTCTGCAGTCGTCCATTAATCTTGATTAAAAGAGCACAAAGGTATATGTGGAGAAGCCGAATTTCATCCACCGTTGAAGAGCAAAGGGATCAGTGAAGAAATCATAATAACCCTATGGCCTTTCAGATGCTGGCCTTCGACTTTCATCAGCCCAAGCCAGCATGGCCAATGAATCATGAGAGCTGCAGTACAACAACATCTGGAAGCTATCTCTGCTTTAGCCTTCCACTGTTGAATGAGATGGAAGATTTCTTGAGAAATACGCCCTTTTGGTTGAATTAGGCCCTGTGCCTTAACAGCTGCTAAGCAGGCAAAAATGGATGAAAAATGTAATCCTCCATCAAGGAGGCACAGTGATGGAAAACCTCCAGCTATCCAAAAATGATGGTTTCCTGTCATAAACCATGAGATTGCCCCTATTACTCTTCAGCATCAAATTATTAAAAATGAGCAGGCATTTCATTTTTCGTGTTGGCAGGGGACTCTGTCTTGTGAGTGCCTCTAAAAACAGTCTTGGAAAGATCAGAGAAAAACTGTTTAAGAGGACCTACCTTAATCTTCCAGCTAGTCGGACTGTGCAACTTTTAATTATTTCCATGGATTAATTACCGTATACTTCCCCAACCAAGCAAATGCCAATTAGTATATAAAATGGGGTTGTGTAATAGTCCAGAGAATCTCTTTTATGATGGGAAGCAGCCAATCCACTTGGTAAAATAGGAAGGTGACTTAGACCAAGTCAGGCCATTGGGTACATCTAGTTCATTATTGTCCCCAATGACTAGCAGAAGCTCTCCAGGGTTTAAGGCAGGGAATATTCCCAGTTCTAGCTGGGACTGGACCTGGGACATTTTGCATGCCAAGCAAATGCTCTGCCACTGTCAGGGATTGTACTGAAGAGGAGGGAGAATGGTGGAGATCTCCCCCCCCCATCTCCTGTAGCTTCCAGGGAGGAGGAAGGCAGTCTTGAATTACAGCAGGGCTTTGAGGAAGATAGCAGCTCAGAGACAGGCAAACAGCAGAGTTATGTTGTGTTAGGAGAAGGAGGGATGGAGGCAGAGAAACTAGCTGACACGTCACTGGACAGCATACCCAACCCCCCCTTCTCCCAAAATGCAGCATTTGTTAAGAACAAAGAGCACATAGACAATTGTCCATGGACAGACGCCGTAGAAGCAGGTGTTGTTGCTAGAGAGGGAAGGGGGAGGAGCTCAGTGAGAGCAGCTCCAATATGACCGAAATTCTTTGTCCTTTATTGTGATGACTTAATAAATCATAAGTAAGAACTTTCGCGTTTCCTCCCTGCTTCTTGGTGCCATTGGGGTGAAGGGGAGGATTCCTCAAGCCTGACAGCCACTGAGCTACAGTTCTGCACCTTATTGCGAAGGAAGCCTCAAGTAGGATTATTGTAAACAAGGACTACTTTGAATAATCTATGGCTATTTCAGGGATTGTGGTTTCAGAGTTACCCCACATCACCATTGGCTCAGGTCACTTTGAAAATACTGGGAATTTCCTGTAAGTTCTAAACTCCCCAATATAGTCAAACTATTGTGGATATGTCCCAGGGGTGGGGACCCTGTGAACATCCCATCAACCCCAACTAACAAAGCCAGTGATCAGGGATGATGCAAGTTGTCATCCAGTAACATCTGGAGGGCCACAGATCTGCCATCCCTGATGTATACTTTCAGACTTCACAAACAATCAAAGTTGAACAACTGACCTTTAAAAACTAAGACATTTAGGGGGGTCCAAGTTATTTGGGGGCTTCTTCCTCTCTGTTCATTTACAAGCCCTGGGACACAGGTGGTGCTGTGGGTTAAACCACAGAGCCTAGGACTTGCTGATCAGAAGGTCGGTGGTTCGAATCCCGCAACGAGGTGAGCTCCCGTTGCTCCGTCCCTGCTCCTGCCCACCTAGCAGTTTGAAAGAACGTCAAACTGCAAGTAGATAAATAGGTACCGTTGTGGCGGGAAGGTAAACGGCTTTTCTGTGTGCTGCTCTGGTTTGCCAGAAGCGGCTTAGTCATGCTGGCCACATGACTCCCAGCTCCCTCAGCCAATAAAGCGAGATGAGCGCTGCAACCCCAGAGTCATCTGCAACTGGACCTAATGGTCAGGGGTCCCTTTACCTTTTACGATAAGCCCACACATCACGTAAGCAAAGAACAAGCTGCAGTGACTAGTGATGAACACATAGACAAGTCATAAGAAGAAATATATATTATTAGGAACTAGATATATTTTTCCCCATGGCATACTCCATCCTGAACTCTACTTACCCATGTCCTGTTGTTCTTTTTGACAGTGATGGATGCGTCAGGGAAGAAAACATAGACTGCTCTCCCAGCTACCAAGCTATCCTCATTGTCCTTTCCAATGCTCACGGACACCCTGAACCAGAAGGGGGCACTTTCGTCACAAACAGAGACCAAGTCATAAACTCCATCGCAGAAGTACTTCCCTGAGGCACCATCAAATGAACTGAGTTGGGCTCCAGGGGTGAGTCTACACTCGCCCTCCAGATGTTCCATGCTCTCACAGGCACGACGACCATCCTTAAGTGCGCAGGTGTCTATTTGGCAGCTGCTATTAACGCAGGTAAGTTTGCCCAAGTCACCGCAGGTGCATTTCTCCATGCAATTGCTTGAGAAGATGCTCTCTCCAGCCTGTTGGGAAATTCCCGGATAAAGAAATAAAGTTAGGGGAGTTGGAAAATAATGCAAACATTCCAACAGCAATTTCTTTTTATTTAATGGTGTCAGCTTATTTAGAATGTTCACGTGCTGATTTCCCATGTAAAAGATGCACAAGTTTATTTCTGACCTAAGGAAAACTAACCCAGTGTACGTTACCCCTATTCCAAACTTGACTCAGTAGCAAGGCTACTGCTGGCTGAGCTGGCCTGAGACTGGCAGAGAGAAAACAAGACTTTGAAGCAGAGTTTCATTTACACCACCCTTTTTGTCAACGTAAGTTGCACAGGGTTACACTAGTCATGTGACTGACCAGGTGGCGCTGGGAAGTTTTATCTCAAGCATCAAAATGTCCTAGCCAGCCCTGGGCTTAGCCGAGGCTCAGCTGGAGATCTGCCTATTCCGAATTCACTCATCCAAATGGATCCTGGATTGTGTCTTGAAGAGGGTTTTCAGCATTGGATCCACAGCTACCTCCTTCAGAGCAGTAACAACTACTTCATCTTATAAAAATGTGTTTTATTTATTTAAGAATGTAAAATCACTACTAGATTAAAGGACTATCTAGTCCAGCATTCTGTTCTCACAGTGGCCAACCAAATGCCCACAGGAAGGCCATAAGCATGACATGAGCGCAGTCATATTGTCCCTTCCATTAGAGGTATGTGTGTTATTTGTAAAATCATATCCTTCATTACTGACCAATCTGTTTTGGTTTCTCTCCATTTCCCAATCAGTTCTCCACACTTCCACATCACTTTGTGAAAATTTCTCCTTATAAATTTTTACCGCAGTTTTGCCTAATATATACAACTTTGCAAAGCATGCATCTTGCACGTTGTTTTCACAAATATGTGCATTTCTATACACACATTACTTGGCTGGAGAACTACCTTGCAAAATTCAGCAAAGTGCGAATTTCAAAAGATGGCAATGTTTCAGTTCTCGCATTGTCTTGGAAAGTAGGTTCACCTTTATATGCAAACTGAATCAAATTTCTCTCTCATCCTTATAAACTACTTGCGCTGGCCCTCTATATGGGAACCCCAATAACTGGGATACAAAGACTTACTTTGAGGTAGAGACCATCATGCACGCAGCCACATTTGTCTGTAGGCACACATGTATCCCCATCAAACAAGTAGCCATCATCACATTGACAGCCTTCAAAGCATTTTCTGGTGCACTGGAGTGGAGTGGACAAGCTGGCACAGCTGAAATCACAAACTGGTTTTGTGCATGTCTCATAGTGACTATTGGCTGGGCAGGTGAGGGCTACAGAGAGAGAGAGAGCAGAAAAAGCAATGTTTGACAAACATAGAATAGGGAGGCTTTCCAAAATGAAAACAATTATTTTCAACCATTTTGCTTCATCAGTATTATGGCACAGAAGCTTCTGACACTATAGCTGACTTGGAAGTGTTCACAAACATTCCAGCCTCTCAGGGAATAAATATGTAAATCATAAATATTGGTAATATTAGGTAATTGTTGTTTTGAGGTATCCTATGTTGGACTGTCTTGGGAGAAAAGCAATGACAAACCTAGACAGCATCTTAAAAAGCAGAGACATCACCTTGCCAACAAAGATCCATATAGTTAAAGCGATGGTTTTCCCAGTAGTGATGTACGGAAGTGAGAGCTGGACCATAAAGAAGGCTGATCACCGAAGAATTGATGCTTTTGAATTATGGTGCTGGAGGAGACTCTTGAGAGTCCCATGGACTGCAAGAAGAACAAACCTACCCATTCTTAAGGAAATCAGCCCTGAGTGCTCACTGGAAGGACAGGTCCTGAAGCTGAGGCTCCAATACTTTGGCCACCTCATGAGAAGAGAAGACTCCCTGGAAAAGACCCTGATGTTGGGAAAGATGGAGGGCACAAGGAGAAGGGGACGACAGAGGACGAGATGGTTGGATAGTGTTCTCGAAGCTACCAGCATGAGTCTGACCAAACTGCGGGAGGCAGTGGAAGACAGAAGTGCCTGGCGTGCTCTGGTCCATGGGGTCACGAAGAGTCGGACACGACTAAATGACTAAACAACAACAACATGTTGGATTGAGATATCCCATGCCAGGCAGAGTGGCAATGTGCATTACTTAACAATGTAAACCAGACCTGATGCATTTATAGGCCCTCTCACAAGGAACTCAGAGTCAAGAAAGATTGCAAAATAAGGCAGCGGGTTGAAAAACAGGAACCCCGTAGGAAGATAAGAGGGAGAAAAAGGTTGGGAGAAAAGGTGAGAGAACAAGTGATTGCATATCACTGAAACTTGCATAACTCAACCAATAGCTCAGATTACTCTGGGTTTGGGGGAGACTCACTACCGAAAAGGTAGAGATGAAGAAACCTTTTCATCCAACTTACGACAGAAGGACTTTGTTCTCCAGGCTCCAATCTTGACTCCAGCAGACTGGCACGCAGCTGCATAGGCTTGAAGGTTTCGGCAGAGATACTCCTGCTCCCCTTTGGCTGCAGCCAAGTCATACAGGCATTGCTCAAGGTAATCTGAGGGGCTTACTAATGAGGAGCAGTCTTTGAATGGTCCTGTCTCGGACGTGATCATTCCACAGGAGTCGTCATTTTCATACGGTGCTGTCTGGACTGTATCAAAAATGGGGCATTCCTCACCACAGCCACTGGAGCAGATGGCACCATCCAGAGGGACCTGCCAGGAGGCCCCAAACTCATCCACCGTTTCTGCGGATTCCCCACTAGGCAGCATGAAATCGTCCCTCTCATCGCCATTGAAATTGCCACCCAGACCACACATGTGTCCCTGGTAGGTGCTGGGGACAGTCACACGGACATAGGAAGAGGTATCATAAAGGACTGTGAGGCCAAAGGACGCCTGAAGAATTATATTGATCCCCTCCTGAGTGATCCAGAGTTTCCTCTCGTCTCTATTCACTGGCAAAGTGCAGAATTCTTCATCCACCTGCATCAGCAAAGAAGAAAGAAGCAAATTCATGGGGGTCAGCTCTGAGCACATGCAAATTCTCAAGAACACACAAATACAAAAGACACACACATATCCTTTTGCACATGCTGTTTCTCATTCCAGTGATCTAAAGAAATGTCATCTTTTTTTAAAAAAAGAATTTAATTACTATAACAAATGCTTTTCCTGTAATTTTATGACTGCAAGCTGCCCTGGACTCTCTTTGCATAAGAAGGGCATGTTATTCATTTGAAATCATAGGTAAAGGTAAAGGACCCTTGGACAGTTGAGTGCAGTCAAAGGCGACTATGGGGTTGCGGCGCTCATCTCGCTTTCAGGCCGAGGGAGCTGGCGTTTGTCCACAGACAACTTTCCAGGTCATGTGGCCAGCATGACTAAACTGCTTCTGGCACAACAGGACACCGTGACGGAAGCACATGGAAATGCTGTTCACCTTCCTGCCAGAGCGGTGCCTATTTATCTACTTGCACTGGTGTGCTTTCGATCTGCTAGGTTGGCAGGAGCTGGGACAGAGCAATGGGAGCTCACCTCATCGTGGGGATTCAAACCACTGACCTTCCGATCAGCAAGCCAAGAGGCTCAGTGGTTTAGACCTCAGCACCAACCGCGTCCCTTTTATTTCAAATAGTAATAATAATCTGATATGAGTGGCCTATACATACCATAGCTATCCATTTCCTTCCCCTTTCAAGGACAATAGTGTGCTGATGAACAGAGACCACAACCTTCCTTATCTGAGCAAGGTGTCCATTTCCAAGCTTCTCGTTCTCCACCAAAATGGAGAAATTCTGTAGCCGAGGGTCTGTGCTGCAGACTTTGGCTAAGGTGTAAGTGCAGGAGCCATGGAAGTGAAAGCTTTGTCCATCAAAGGAAATATAAAGGGGGTCACCAAGTGCTATAGCTGTACCATATCCCGCAGGGTGACAGCCTTGGATGCCGTTCTCCACCCTGCACTCCTCATGCGCTCCACAGGAGAACTGCTGACACTTGGTGGCTCCATTGTCCAGGCAGCGGCACTTCTCCTGGCAGGAGCTACTGGGATAAAACTCCTCTCCCTTTTTGTAGTATCTGCCCTGGTGCACACAGCCACACTCTGCAAGATGCACACACTGATCCCCACTGAGCACGAATCCAGGATCACAAAAGCATCCTTCAGTACATGGTGCATCGCAAGGTCCACCACACTTTATGGTGGAGGAACGGTTCTGGCATGTGCTGGGACAACCGCTTCCACAGAGCTCATAGTGGGAATTGGGTTGACAGGGAAGTCCTGGAAGTAAAGAATAAAGACAATTATACCAGCCTTTGGAATATAACTAAGACTCAGCAAAAGCACCACCAAAGTGTTATTATGTGAAGACATTTGGGCACCATGTGGTTCAAAATGTCCTTTTAACACACACACCACAAAAAAATACCTGTAGTTTGCTTATTCTAGTGCTTTTTCTGTTGCATCTGAGTCAGGAGGGGCTGTGACTGTTATGAACTGGTGCCTAGATTCAGTGGTGGGCTGGATGAGGGACAAAAAACTTAGGTTTGTCATGAAGTAGTGATCCTGAGAGCAAGTATCTCTGGGTGGGGCCCCTCAGGAAGGTGGTCACAATTAGTTCCCAAAGTGGGAGTATTTGAAGGCGCTGGCTTCTAGCCAGCATTCCCCAACCCATATAAATCTTCGAGCTAACCTTCCGGCTAAGGGAGAGAACATGCCATGTTTTCAACTTGCTGTTTGATGTTCTGTGGCTGGTGCCAGAGAAGAAGTCAATAAAGCTTGGCAACCTGTTCAGTGCCTGTGTGTGATTGACTAGTAGCTTGGAGGGAGGGTTTGGGAAAGTGACCCCCTCCTTGACACTCATTTCTGGAGATGAGTGAAAATGAAGCACCCCTATGTATTTGGGGGAATGGTAACTGCTAATTTAACAATGCAATGCCTTCTTTGTGCTCACGCAGCAGTTCAAGAAATCTTTCATTTTTTAAAAAAAACATACGACCATTCAATTTGGCGTTGGAGAATAATGTGCACAAATTGGGCATCTAGGGATGTGCAGAACTAAATCAATGTGCTAGTGCAATACCTGCTAGGACAATGGGACTTTTCTCCATTCTCCTCCCCCTGCATGCCACCACACTCTCCCCAAATCTTTTCTAGGGAGTTGGGAGAACCCTGGGGCAAAGAAGGGAGATCATTCCATCAGGCTGACAGGATGGTCTCCTTAATGCTATGTGGAATACAGTGGTATCTCGGGTTACAGACGCTTCAGGTTGCAGACGCTTCAGGTTACAGACTCCACTAACCCAGAAATAGTACCTCAGGTTAAGAACTTTGCCTCAGGATGAGAACAGAAATCGTGCTCCGGCGACGCGGAAGCAGGAGGAGGCCCCATTAGCTAAAGTGGTGCTTCAGGTTAAGAACAGTTTCAGTTTAAGAAGTGACCTCCGGAAAAAATTAAGTTCTTAACCCGAGGTACCACTGTACAGCCCCAGGTCTGTGAGGCACTACAGGAAAAAACCAAAGCACAGAGAGTCATTCCACCTAGTATTCCTGTAGAGTTGTAACTCTTTAAGCAATCCTTGATACAATGTTGTCTTTTACACAGTACCCTGAAATCCTTATCAAATGATTCATGGGTTTGGTTTTTTCCAAATTCTAAGACTGCATTGCGGCCATCAACACCCAATATTTAACTGAACTCAGATCCAGATTCAGAAAGTAATACAGTACTTACTGCAGAAAGAGGCTGATCTCCATTTCCCAACCTCAATGTTCAAAGATTGGCAGGCTGTCACGTAGACACTGATGGCACTGCAGAGAGTGTCGTGATGACCCTTGTATTGGCAGGTGTCGAAAACACAATCATCGAAGTAAGGTGTTGGGTCAATGGTCTCATGGCACTGCCTGAACGGCCCATCCCTTCTCTTGAGGATCCCACAGAACTGATCCCCCTTGTAGGTCTGCTTCTCTGCCTCACTGCATACTGGGCAGTCACTGCATCCTGCAGAGCATCCTGGGACCTCCTTCAACTTCCAGCTGTCTGCAAACTGGATTTCATCTGTTGTCTGAGCTCCATCCTTCATAGCAAAGTCATCACTGGGGTCCTGGTTAGCATTGCCACACAGACCACACACAGCATTGGCATAAGTGCTGGGAATAATGACCCTGGCATAACTGTACCAGTCAAAGCTGACTCTCAGATCAAAGTCTGTTTTGATGAAGCCATGGACTCCACTGATGTAGACCTTCAGTTTCTTCCCATAGGAGAAGGGCAGGTCCACAAAGACTCCATTCACCTGGAAAATATATGGAAGTCACTGTCACACTGAGAGTTCAGCAAATTCAGGGGGAAAAACCCAACTAGGACATATTTTCACTAGTGAGAGGCACAATCTGTGCTGTATGCCAGGGGTGGAGAGCATGTGGCCTCAGCCAGCATTGCCAGTGGTTAGAAATGATGGGGGATGTAGTTCAGCAACACTTGGCAGGCCACTTATTTTCCACCCTTGCTATATGTTGTATAATCTATGGGTTTTATTCACTTTTGCTGGCCCTACAATGAGAAGGAAATGACTTGCCCCCACATGACATCATCAGAACCCTGAGGCTAAGAAGGAAGACTGCTTCTACTATTGAATATTGAAACAGGAATTTGTCATTTAGAGATACAGTGGTACCTCGGGTTAAGAACTTAATTCGTTCTGGAGGTCCGTTCTTAACCTGAAACTGTTCTTAACCTGAGGTACTACTTTAGCTAATGGGGGCTCCCGCTGCCACCGCACGATTTCTGTTCTCATCCTGAAGCAAAGTTCTTAACCCGAGGTACTATTTCTGGGTTTGCAGAGTCTGTAACCTGAAGCGTCTATGACCTGAAGCGTCTGTAACCCGAGGTACCACTGTAAACCCTCTGTGTTCTATTGCACTGTGCTGGTTCCAGGCTCTACAGGCTCTTAGGCAAAATGGCCTCCTCATACCCCTCTCCCTCAGTGTGTCCTCCTTCAATCAGTTTTCGACCTGATCTCCATTGTTGCCACCTGCTGCTCCTCTCCCTTGCTTGTCTGACAGAGAGCCAGTGAGCAAGCAGGCAGTGGTGTCTACTGCTCCTCTTAATCATCACCACTCTTGTCTCAGCCAGATACACAGTGAGGTTGGTGTACAAGCAGGTAGCCATTGTGAGGAGGGGGAGCAGGTCCAGGAGGCTGCTGTCAGTGGACCCAGGCTGGGTTGTGGGTCATCAGCAGACGCCAGGCCCTTGTTGCTGGTATCACTTTGCCACTGACTTTTAGAAAGCTTGAACTGCCCCAACCCAAGATTATCTACTGCTCTTCTCTAGTACCTCTGGGCTCTTGGAAAAACCGTCCCACTTAAGACAGATTTACAGGGCAAAATTTGTCATATGACAATTTCAAGAAGCCATGGAATGGCCTAATTATTAAGAACATGCACCAGAAAACAGATTTTATGTTTAATGCCTTTTCAGCTTGTGAAAGTAGCATGCATGCTTGAGGCAGAAAGCTGATATGTCTCTCACATTATAATCACCATATGATGGAATCGTTTAAAGAAGAAGAAGAGTTTGGATTTGATATCCCGCTTTATCACTACCCTAAGGAGTCTCAAAGTGGCTAACAATCTCCTTTCCCTTTCTCCCACACAACAAACACTCTGTGAGGTGAGTGGGGCTGAGAGACTTCAGAGAAGTGTGACTAGCCCAAGGTCACCCAGCAGCTGGATGTGGAGGAGCAGGGAATCAAACCCGGTTCATGAGATTATGAGTCCACCGCTCTTAACCACTACACCACAAATCAGCAATTTCTACAAGAGATGGGACAGCAACCAGAGGTGCTGATTTGCATGTCTGAACTGAACTTGAGACCAGCAGCTTATAAATTGCTTTGTTAGATCTGGGGTAGTTCAGTCAGTTCAAGCTGCACATTTGGCAAAGGATTCCAGCATTGCACGGGGGTTAGGCCAGATGACCTTGGTGGTTCCTTCCAACTAGATCATTCTATGATTCTATGAATCACATCAGTGAAACGATATTAATCATAGTTCCCTCCTCACACAACTTTTTGGCCCTCATTACATCTGCAGGGTTGGCATGCCAAGTTATCTACATTTCTGCAGCAATTTGTGATCTTTTTTAAAAAAGCTAATTTTAGTGCCAACTTCTCCCAATAAACACATTTTTGTTTGCAGTTTTGAATAATGCACACAGTTTCAAACAATTTCCCCTAATATAATGTGTTTCCATATGTTATTTTCAATACTATCTGCATTTATTCCCCTAGTAAAAGCATTTTTAAACACATTATATGGTTGGAGAAGTGTGAATTCTGAAGGATGGCTGTGCTTCAGTTTGCATATTGTTTCGGAAACTGCTGATTTGGTAGGTAAAGGACCCCTGGCCATTAGGTCCAATCGTGACCGACTCTGGGGTTGCAGCGCTCTTCTCGCTTTATTGGCCGAGGGAGCTGGCATACAGCTTCCAGGTCATGTGGCTAGCATGACTAAGCCATTTCTGGCAAACCAGAGCAGCGCACGAAAACGGCGTTTACCTTCCCACCGGAGCGGTCCCTATTTATCTACTTGCACTTTGACGTGCTTTCAAACTGCTAGGTTGGCAGGAGCAGGGACTGAGCAACGGGAGCTCACCCCGTCGCGGGGATTCGAACCACCGACCTTCTGATCGGCAAGTCCTAGACTCTGTGGTTTAACCCACAGCACCACCCCTTTAAATGTGAACTAATTCCATTTCTGCATCCCTCAGTGCTACTGCCTAGTATCTTTCTTCCTTGTTGCTGGTATCCAGTATAACACAATACAGAACACAATTTCCTCATTCAGCACATTTTCCTGTCCTGGCCTCACATCCTTTAGCCTTGTAAACCACAACAGAAAGACTGTTGACATTCTAACATTAAGAATCAGATGCAATGGCCCTGCCAGAGGACCTCATTGCTCAATGAGGTGCTGGTTGAACCCAAAATCAAGTGCTGAATTTAAATCTGCCCCACTCTTCCTTATCACCTGGCATATGTACCTTAATCTTCTGTGGATGTTCTTGGCTCAGACTGATGGTCATGTTGTAGACCTCTAGTGTCACCACTTTGGTGAAGGACACCGCCTTGCTGCCTCGGTTGTTGTTCTCCACCGTGACCGAAAACGGGGTGAGAGCGGGGTCCTTGGAGCAGACTCCGGCCATTTGATAAATGCAGGTTCCCATGAAGTTAAATTTCTTTCCATCAAAGGTGGTGTAGTGAGGGTCTCCAGTTCCTATGCAGGTGAAATAGCTGGTGGGATGACAGCCCCAAATGCCATTCACCAGGGCACATTTTTCATTGGCCTTACAGGAGGACTTGGTGCATGTAACCTTCCCTAATTTGGAGTCGCACTTGCAGCGAGTATGACAGCCTTCATCAGCCCAGAACTCCTCTCCTGCGCTGTAGCTCACCCCTTTGTAAATGCAAGGGCACTTCTCCACTGGGATGCAGGCTTCAGCACTAAGGACGTAGCCCTCATCACACTGACAGGCCGCCACACAGGTATCATTGCACGTTTCGGGAGCACTTTTGTCGGAACAGGTAGCTGGGCATGGAGTTCCACAGGACACAAAGTGGCTGTTTTCAGGGCAGGGTACTGGGGCTGAGGTGGGAACTGGAGGAATAAGAATGATCAAAGCTGGTCAGGTGTAATTAAAAAAAGTTAAGGAAAAACAAAGCTTATTCAAGGCTGCAGTCAGGAATTAAATGGTTCTGGGGCACACACTCTCTGCAGCAAATTTCCAAGTCAAACCTTTTATTATACAGTCGTACCTTGGATCCTGAACACCTTGCGAGTTGAACTTTTTGGCTCCTGAATGCTGAAAACCCAGAATTGAGTGTTCTGGTTTGCAAATGTTATTTGGAACCCGAATGTCTGATGCGGCTTCCACAGCTTCCAATTGTGTGCTCCTGCAGCCAATCGGAAGCTGCACCTCGGTTGTCGAACATTTTCAGAAGTCGAATAGACGTCTGGAATGGATTCTGTTCCACAACCAAGGTACAACTGTACTGCGGTCATCTAGGGCCTTCTTCCAAGTCCCTTAAAGCTCCATTAGTAGGGTCTTTTTTGTTGTGGCACCTACCTAATTAAATGCCTTGTCGAGGAAGTTCCATTAGGTCCCATCGCTCTACTGTGTCAGGCAAGAGGTAAAAACCTGGCTTTTATATTAGGCCATTGAAAATACTACGTATTTTACTTTCCTAGCACCATTCTACATTGTTTTGGGGTTATTGAGATTTGTTAAAAGGGTTGCTAATTTATTAACTGGAATGAATATTCAGAATTTTGTTCTGCTCTGTTTCTTGTATTGTTTCTTAGGCTCTTTGGAGAAATAGATGGGATAGATGTTTAATGCATAATAGTGTTCTAGTTGCCGTGTCACAAAAGGGCCATCCTGGAGCAAGGAAAAGGACAAAAAGCGGCAGCTGAAATAGTTGAAGTATCAGAAGCACCTTGCATAGGAGGACATGATATATTTGGTATTTTTAAAATGCAGGGAAAGTGGGGAGAAAAAAAATATCTCCCATGTTAGTGAAACTAGGCCTTCTCAATGAAATTGATTTGCATGTGGCTCAGGACTGTAAAAAAAAAACAATTAGATTTAGGCAGGGATAGTGGAATGCCTATTGCTTTATTCCCCTGTGGTCACAGAGCACCACAATCTCCATGCATCAGACAGATGTTCATACCTTACTCATGGAGGTTGGGGACAGAGGAAGCCATGTGACTTCAGGGACAGGGGCCCATGGACCATGAAGCTAACACATGCGGGCAGGAGTTGACATCTTCCCAAAAGGAAGCCTGTTGACCTTGGAAGGAGGTGGCATTTGCAAAAGGTTGCATCTTCATCCACAGAATGACCTCAAAGTTGATTCCTTTTTGCCACCCACAAAACCCTTGCATGCAGTTGCTGTTCTAATGAAGGATGGCAGGGTGAAAAAGTCCTTTGTGTCTTGGTTCGCGAGGCAGCAACTGAGTTGAAAATGTGAGAGCCATGGGTATCAAGCTAAATTGCAGGCTAGGCTTGACACCCGCAAGGGCTCAAACTGGCCTCACTTGATTCTCTGAACACCTCAATCCACGCCTCTCCTAACCTAGCTCTGGCAGCAGAGCTACTTCTGAAAGCTCACAGCCTCCATCCCCTACAGTGCCTGAGGCTTTTCTTCTTGGCCTCACAAAAAGTCTTTTTGTACACAACCATCCCTAATTTAGGGTAGCAATTGCAAATAATGTGGCAGTCTTCATCAGCCCAGAACTCTTGCCTGGCATTGCAGTCCATACCTGTCAAAGTGCTGGGGCAGCTCTCGACTGGGACGCATTTTTCATCATTAAGGATGTATCCCGCATCACACTGGCATATTTCCACACAGCCATCTGTGCATTCATCGGGAGCAGTTCTGTCTGAACATGTGGCTGGGCAGGGATTCCCACAGGTCTCAAAGTGGCTGTTCTCAGGACAGTCTATTGGGGGGTCAGTGGGACCTGAAGGAAAGCAATGTTCAAAAGTAGTCAGGTGTGATTACATATTTTAAAAATCAGGAAAAGCAAAGTAATTCAAGGCTCCAGTAAGGACGGAAAAGATTGAGGGAGTAAAAGTCCCTCTTTCCTTCCAGTCAATAATAATAATAATAATAATAATAATTATATTGTTGTTGTTGTTGTTGTTTATACACCCCACCCATCTGAGTGGGTTGCCCCAGCCACTCTAGGCAGCTTCCAGCATATATAAAAACATAGTTAAACCTTAAACCTTAAAAAGCTTCCCTATACAGGGCTGCCTTCAGATGTTTCCTAAATGTTATGTAATTACTCATCTCCTTAACATCAGGTGGGAGGGCATTCCACAGGGCGGGCGCCACCACCAAGAAGGCCCTCTACCTGGTTCCCTGTAAGCTTCATTTCTTGCAGGGAGGGAACTGCCAGAAGGCCCTCGGAGCTGGACCTCAGTGTCTGGGCTGAACTATGGGGGAGAAGACACTCCTTCAGGTATACAAGGCTGAGGCTGTTTAGGGCTTTAAAGGTCAGCACCAACACTTTGAATTGTGCTAGGAAATGTACTGGGAGCCAATGTAGGTCTTTCAAAGACTGGTATTATATGGTCTCAGCAGTCAAATGTTATACTCCCTATGTAATTTGGCGTAACGCTTGCAGAGAGTCTGGCTGTCTTCATGAGCCCAGGACTCCCGCCCTGCATTGCAGTTCATACCCATAGAAGTGTTGGTGCAGCTCTCCACTGGGATGCACTTCTCATCACTGAGGATGTAGCCTCTATTGCACTGGCAGATTTCCACACAGGTCTCTGTGCACTCAGAGGGAACAGTTCTGTGAGAGCAGGTGGCTGGGCAGGCACTTCCACAGGCCTCAAAGTGGCTGTTCTCAGGGCAGGATAATGGAGCCACGGTTGTGTCTGGATCAAACACTGATAAAAAAAAAAGGTCAGGTGTGTTCTCAGGTCAATTAATGATTCAAAATTCCTTCACTTCTGAGGAACATTTTTCTATTGACATATTGGCTTGTACAGTGGTACCTCGGGATGCGAACAGGATCCGTTCTGGAGCCCCGTTCGCATCCAGAAGCAAACGTAACTAGTGACGGTACGTCTGCACACGCGCGTGTTGCTTTTCGCCACTTCTGCGCATGCGCATGATGTCGTTTTGAGTGTCTACGCATGCATGAGCGGTGAAACCCGGAAGTAACGCACTCCGTTACTTCCAGGTTGCCGCAGAGCGCAACTCGAACACGCTCAACATGAAGCATATTCAACCGAGGTATGACTGTAGTTTTGTGCCCCAGCACTTTAATTCATTGTAGCCCAGTGGCACAGGAAATAAACTGGGTACAAACAGGAACTGCCAGATGGGTTCCAATTAGCAGTCATCAAATGTGACATTAGCCTTATTTTTATGTCATTTGTGCTTTTGTGGCATGGGAATATTTGTGGCAACTGTTTGGACAGCTCACTGTACATTTTTCACCCTTAGTATTATTATGTAAATTTGGTCACATTTTCCACAGAACCTAGCTACAAACGAAGGTTTCGGGAATGATACTGTATCACCAAAAGCATGTGTACACTTCTGTGTACAGTTAACCCTATGCATTTTTGTAAACATGTGTTGGTTGGGGGACTGCAATGCAAAATCTGAAGAAGTGTGAATTTCAACGGATAGTTGTGTTTTGGTTCATGTATTGTTCCGGAAAGTGTAAATTATGTGGGTTCATCTTTGAATGTGATCAAATTGAATTTCTCCCCCCATCCCTAGTTCAAATGTGGCAATAATTTCATCTGTGGGATTCCAAAGTGAAGGAGCCACATACAGATTACAGTCAAGAATAGGGCAGGAAAAGAAAAGAGTTGCAGTAGAAGGGAGAAGCAGTGGCTGTGGGGGGAATTTCTGAGGCAGAAAAACAATGCAGAATTTTTTGCAAGTCCACCTATCCAAGAGTCATGACCAGGCTTCCTCAACCTCAGCCCTCCAGATGTTTTGAGACTACACTTCCCATCATCCCTGTCCACTGGTCCTGCTAGCTAAGAATCATGGGAGTTCTAGGCCAAAACATCTGAAGGGCCAAGGTTGAAGAAGCCTGGTCAAGACTATTGTCAACTATTTGTTCATTCCCTAGTAGCCTATTCAATACTTACCAGATGAGCAAAGGGCTATGGAGCCATAGCCATCGCGGAATGAGCCTCCAAAAATGAAGAGTCCAAAAGGAGTGCTGGGGTGCTCCAGGGAGAGGGAGTTAGCTTTTCTGCCCAAGCTGAGCTGAGCAGAGGAGTATTCTGTGGCTGGGATTGGTCTCCACTGGATGTTTTCAACAGCCCTCTTCTCTAATGTGATCTCGCTGGTTTCTGAGGTTTTGGCTATAATAACTGCATAATTATCAAACCCAGCAATTCCCTCAATGCGGTATGACCTACAGTAGCTTGTCAGTGGAGGAATATTGATGAGGAATGGGTCATAGATCGTTCTTCCTCTTGATGCACCAGCAAAGAAGAAAAGGACTTGGATTCCTCTGTCAGCTGAGATGTAAAGTGCCCGAGAGGGCTGGATACTCAACTGAATAGCTTCTCCAGCTCTCATATTATAGTTTCCTGCTGTGGGTCCGGATTGATATGTGACTGAAGTGTTTTGGGATGCAACGATATACGCCATATCGTATCTGCTCTGGAAGGACACTGGGGGCACAAGGAAGGCGGCACCCCAGCGTGAAACGGGCAGGAGCTGCTCGACAACATGGTCACAGTGTGTGTGGTTCTTGGCACAGCTGTGCCCACTCAAGACAGCCACAGGTCCACTTGATTCAACCTTGGTGCCAGATAGATCCTGCAAGCTTTGCAGCTGGATTGCTTGGAAGGCCTTGAGGTTAACAACCAGAATGCTCCCGGCGGGATAAACACGTCCTTTGAATGTCACAGACCCCGTCAAACGGATGTCGACCCTAGTGGCTGCTTCATAGGCCACAACTGCAAACTCCTTGAAAGTGTCTGCCATTTCACCCACTGGGGTTACCACATAATACAACATGCCCAGCTGCTCGACTGGGTACACTACCATGGCACCAGTTGAATAGTCCTTGTGGCTGCGGGAAAAGACAGAGATGTCATGGTTTGCTCGGATCGTCACAGCCCTGTCAAAGGTGTCCGTCCCCACCATCTCTGTGGAAGCTGGAAGCTCAATGGACACAGTTTCCCCTTCATTGACAGGAACGGTGTTCTGGAATGTAGCTTTGTTTGATGTGACCGTGACGGTGGTTGCAGGATGGTACCCAGTGATGAGCAACTCAAGCTTAGTATTGCGTTGATTCTGTTTGATGTTGAGCATGAAGGCTGTGACAAATTCCTTTCCTTGGGAACTTGCTGTGCACGGCCCTGAGAGGAAGAAAATAGAAACGGATCAAAAATAGTATTGCAAGTCTCATTCACAAATATATATGGAATGGTGTGGCCACATTTGGAATAATATATACTGGGGAAGAACCCCATACAGCTATGAGCATCTGAATAATCACATGGAGAAAGTGGATAGTGAAATTTACTTCCCTCTCTCATGAAACTAGGACCCAGGTTTGTCATGAGAGATAGCTCAGTTGGTAGAGTGTGAGACTCTTAAACTCAGGGCCATGGGTTTGAGCCCCATGTTGGCAGCCAGTATTCCCCTCATGGTGCAACAAATTAGTATAAACAATAAGAGGGGACGGTTAATGCAAATGTCTTTCAATGATGACTGTGTAGCTCTATATAAGAAATATATTTTTTAAAAATTAAATAACTTTTAAGGAAGTGGCTCATACTGAACGAATACCAGCATCCCCTTTTCACATCCATTTGTGTAGTAAATTTTCACCGTGCCAGGCCATATGAAAGTGCATGCTTCCTTACTGGCCATCCCCAAAATGAGGAGGTGGCCTTTGGTCCGGTTTACTTACCACTCAATAGTGCCAGTCCAGTCAAGAGGAATAATAACCTCATTGCCATAGCTGCAAAAGAGTATAGGAAAGAAGTAAGACTGATTGTTTTATGCAGCTCTAAATACAAATCCGACCACATTGCCTTTGCTACAACATGAAACGCAGGGCAGTTTCCAAAGCACTTGCTCCATCGCCGCACGGATTTATGCTTGTGCAACCAAACTCTCCCCTCCTCCCCACAGATCTGCCCTAGAGGTTTGGATGAATGCCTAGAACAGATTTGTGAGGGATGGGGCAGGGGCAGGAGAGGGGGAGAATGTTCCATTGCACAAGCAGAAATCCTTGCACTGATAGGATATTCACGTAGCACTGCTTTGAATTCTACGGGGAACTCCCAACTATGCAGTCGCAACAATAACTTTTCAGAAACTTGACAAGAGTGTGAACTCTCCTTTAACAGTCCTTTTTCAGAACACTATGTGTCAGGTGTTCATTCGGTGGCAAACTTTGGGCTCTCAAATTTCAGCGACGCCCTTTGTAGTGCTAAGATTCAGTGCCCCCCACCTCTCATGCTCAATTTGACATCATTGTTGCGGATCCGTGCCCTGCCCAACCCCCGTGGCACCTGCAACCCAGTGCATCCAAACCGGTCGTACTGCCCTAAAACCGCCTCTGATTCATTAACCTACTGCAATGCGTTGCATGAAGGGAACAGGAGTTGGTTCAAAATTAAGCCACCATGCTCAGCAGATGGTAACGTATTGTGGCTGTGTGTAAACAATAACAGTGGCTCCCAGTCTGGTTTGTGGCACAATTCCAGTAGTGCAGCTTGCCTTTAAAACACCAAACAGTTTGGAACCTAGAGGCATTCCTGAAGGACTATTTTGCCCAACTTTGTTCTGCCTCTTCACAGAAAAAGTCTTCTAAGCCCTCACTAGCTGTGCTAAAGCAAATGGTGACTAGAGGAAAGTTTTCTTGGTGGCTCACCCCAGAGAGGCTTGCACCCAGACGTCATTTAAAATAAAATTAGAAGCAGAAAGGTTGGTTTAAGAGAGAAACCAATCAGGAGAAAATCAAATGGACGAGATCACATGAACAGCAAAGCAGAAGATACAGCAATCAGAGCTGGCAGATCTTATTTCCCCTAAAGCAGCTTTTTGAAGGCCTGCCCACCCACCCACTGCAGCCCCTCTTCAGTTAAATGTCTTCTGGACTAACTAGTACCAGTGCAGGGATGAAGGAGAAATTCCATTCAGTTCACATTTATGGGTGACTAAATTGTCACTCTCCAAAACAATACATGAACCAAAGCACAACCATTCTTTGAATTTTGCACCTCTCTAGCTAAGGGGCATGTACAAAAATGCATATACCTGGATAAAGTGTGCATAAGAATAGCATATATTAGTGAAAATAAGATACAAAAGTGCACTGCATTAAGGGAAACATATATGAGGCAGAACTGCATTCAAGCGTATGTATATTCGAGGGAAATTGCATTAAAATAAAACCTTTCATGAAGATTTTTTCTAAAAGAAAGGAAAGAGAAACAAAAATGGAGAAATTCATCCAACACTATACTAGCGGCACCAAAAGCACAAAAGGCAAGAAGGATCCTTGTTTATCCTTCCCTTGATCAGCAGCGGATTAGAATCACAAGGCACTGTTCAAAACAATATCTTACCTTGTGCCCCTAAGTAAGCTTGTCTTGGCTGGATGAAGAAGAACTTGGTCCTCTCTCCTTTTCTCTCAGCTGCTCTTCCCCTTTTTATAGGCTGAAGGAGTCAGAGCCCATCTCCCGATTAACTATTAGGAAAGCAGCAACAGTCCATAAGGGCTGGGCTTTGGGAAAATGCAAGAGTCAAATAAAAAAACAGAGAACCTTTGCCTATCCTCTCAGCCTCAGAAAAAAATGCAACTGACTGGATTGGGCAATGTGCCTTATAGGTTAGCATTTAACAAATGTTTCTAAAATGTATTTGAATACTGAAATAGGTGAAGCCAAACTTTTTCTCCTGTTTGCTGTTGTAGTTCTTCATAATTAGCAGGACTTCAGTGAAAGAGACAGCTTTATCTAGACATTATTCTGTAAGAATTATGGTACTTGCTATCAACAAAACCTGGCAAGCTAGACAGCAAGCTTTTTCCTGTTTGTGCAGTTCTGCTGCTCAGGGGGTAGAAGACCGAAGTGTCCTTGACCTGACTTCTTGTTTGGATAGGAAACTAACATGTTGTGGATCTTACTGCCAGGCAGATGTACTAGCAAGTTCCAGAGAAGTAGAGTTTGACCTCTGGGAATTTTCTTCGTAATCAGAAAAAAGAAAGTGAAACTGACCTTGGAATGCTCTTCTCGGTCAAAATCCAGAGAGCTAGTTCAGGGAACAGTTTAATGGGACATTTTAGTTTCCCGCTTTCAACAGCTTATCACCGTATCCGAGACTGCTTTCGAAACTTCCCTGAGTTGGGAACTGGAGACTGCTGTTTGCAAAAGAGGAAGGCCAATGCACCACTGGGCATGTGGAGCTAACTGCATGTTCTCTGGGCCATGCCCAGTTCAGTTTAAGGCTGTCCGGGAAGCCTGGGTTAAAATCAGTGCTATTTACTAGCAGGGATGTTTTGCATGACACAGAATGAAGCATGCTGCTTCAGTGGCAGATCTAGACCCCCTGCGAGTGGCGGCTGATCCACCCATTGCTGCCTCTGCCATAGCTGCCTCTTCCTCTGTCTGTGAGCTCTCCTGTGCACATCCTTTACTGCTTGCCTACTCCCTGCCTGTCAGCTGCCTCTGTTGTTGCTCAGGGGAGAGAAGCAGCTCATGGAGAGGGTGCCTTCGCTTGCACATTTCCCCCCCTATCAATAATCATGTGGCCTAGGTTAGGCTGAGGCTGCAATTGGCTCAAGGCGACCATGTGAGCTTTACAAGCTGGGATTTGAACCTGATATCTGAGTGTGTTATTGTGTGCATTGGGTAGGTGGGGTGGGTCTGAAAATTGGAATGCTAAAAGCAGGTGACTTCTTGAAAGTTCCTGAGGGCACGAAACACTACAGCTTGACTTTTGTGTGCTTCATTGTGTGCTGGCTACAGAGTGGTGTGCACTGGAGTTGTGCTCAGAAGTCTGGCTTTGTACTTTTTTCATATAAAGCAAATTTCTTCCACACCATCACCTGCATCTCACCCTAACATACTTGTCAATATTTCCCTTTTTTAAAGGGAAATTCCCTTATTCCAAATAGAATTCCTCGCAAGAAAAGGGAAAAGTTGACAACTATGCATCCTAAACTGAGGGGTGGGAGAGGCGTGATTCTGTAGTTCGCCTCAGGTGCCAAAATGTATTGGGCCTGCCTGTTGGAGAAATCTGACAAAAATTGAAATGGCAGTTGAAATTGCTAATTTTCGCCTATTCATCCTATATCCATCAACCATCCTAGCTGTGAGTCCTGGAAGATCTGTTCCCTGCCTTGCTAGCCTTTTCTCACCTGGTCTGGGAGGGCAGGGCATTGACTGACTGCAGCTACAAAAGCTGAGGTTGCTCAACACACTCTTGGGCTGGGGTATTACTGAGGGAGTTATTGATATATTGTTGTTATTTATATATATTCTTTTATTTTTAAGTGTTGTTATGATTTATATGGAAATGGTTTGATTTTGCTGTGTACTTTTTGATGTGTCTTATTTATTTTATGGCTACTTTTGTAATTATGTAAATCTTTTTCTGCTGTAAGCCACCTTCAACATAGCTTTGTTGTTGTTGTTGTTGTTTAGTCGTTTAGTCGTATCCGACTCTTCGTGACCCCATGGACCAGAGAACGCCAGGCACTCCTGTTTTCCACCGCCTCCCGCAGTTTGGTCAGGCTCATGTTCATAGCTTCGAGAACACTGTCCAACCATCTCGTCCTCTATCGTTCCCTTCTCCTTGTGCCCTCCATCTTTCCCAACATCAGGGTCTTTTCCAGGGAGTCTTCTCTTCTCATGAGGTGGCCAAAGTATTGGAGCCTCAACTTCACGATCTGTCCTTCCAGTGAGCACTCAGGGCTGATTTCCTTAAGAATGGATACATTTGATCTTCTTGCAGTCCATGGGACTCTCAAGAGTCTCCTCCAGCACCATAATTCAATAGCATCAATTCTTCGGCGATCAGCCTTCTTGATGGTCCAGCTCTCACTTCCATACATCACTACTGGGAAAACCATGGCTTTAACTATACGGACCTTTGTTGGCAAGGTGATGTCTCTGCTTTTTAAGATGCTGTCTAGGTTTGTCATTGCTTTTCTCCCAAGGAGCAGGCGTCTTTTAATTTCGTGACTGCTGTCACCATCTGCAGTGATCATGGAGCCCAAAAAAAGTAAAATGTCTCACTGCCTCCATTTCTTCCCCTTCTATTTGCCAGGAGGTGATGGGACCAGTGGCCATGATCTTCGTTTTTTGATGTTGAGCTTCAGACCATATTTTGCTCTCTCCTCTTTCACCCTCATTAAAAGGTTCTTTAATTCCTCCTCACTTTCTGCCATCAAGGTTGTGTCATCTGCATATCTGAGGTTGTTGATATTTCTTCCGGCAATCTTAATTCCAACTTGGGATTCATCCAGTCTAGCCTTTCGCATGATGTATTCTGCATATAAGTTAAATAAGCAGGGAGACAATATACAGCCTTGCCGTACTCCTTTCCCAATTTTGAACCAATCAGTTGTTCCATATCCAGTTCTAATTGTAGCTTCTTGTCCCACATAGAGATTTCTCAGGAGACAGATGAGGTGATCAGGCACTCCCATTTCTTTAAGAACTTGCCATAGTTTGCTGTGGTCGACACAGTCAAAGGCTTTTGCATAGTCAATGAAGCAGAAGTAGATGTCTTTCTGGAACTCTCTAGCTTTAGCAATGGAAAAGCAGCTTATAAAGAAAACGATGGTGATAGCTGGAAGAGAAATCAATCCAGCAAACATGACTGGTATTTGCTGCTGCTGTTGCTTTGAGTCTGAAAGTGATATATAATTGATTGTGTATTTTTCCCCATTTGCATTGCCTTTCTTTTCATTGAATGGACTTTGATAAGGTAATTACAAAGTAACTTCCATAATTATGTAAGACAAATAACAGGGCTTTTGTGCAGGGCTTTTTTCCAGTCTGAACCCAAGTTCTGGCACCCCTCTTGTGGGCAACATTGCCATTATAAGAGAACAAGGGAGGACTTCTGGCGCAGCCGCCACGGCAAACTGCCAATCCCATGGTAGCGGATGCCAGCCATGCAGTTAATTAAGGATAATTTGGGAGTAATTATCCTTGCAAGCCCCCCCTCCCAATTCAGGGGAGGAGGGCTTTCTCTCGCAGATCATCTGATAACTGCCTCTGGCTCCGATGGAATGTGGGGGCAGGGATGCAGAGTGAATGCACATATTGGAAGCTCCCCAGTGTGGTCGCCATGAGCAGATGTATCTGTTTCTTCTAAGATATATCTGAATTTGGACTTCAGAAACAGACCTGTTTTGGAAGAAAGAGAAAGAGAACCTGCAAAATGAATCAGTCCACTGAGTGCCAAGGTTTTGATCTGGAGAGCACTCTTGTCATCGTAATTGGAATGCTATGTAAGTGCTATGTTGTTCTGTCTTTACATTATTTTTTGCTGTGCTATGAATCGGCAAGCCTTCACTGAAAAAGAATCAATTAATGGAGTGAAATTACTAATGGATTACAGCTATGTATGGAATGCAGAGGGATTTAACAAGAACTTGTGGTTTTCTTTACAGAATGCTTGAAAGAACAGACTGTGATGACTTGAAATTCTGTGATGACTTGTAACATTGCCAACTAAAGAGAGCTCTAAAAGGTAAAGGGACCCCTGACCACTAGGTCCAGTCGTGGATGACTCTGGGTTGCGGCACTCATCTCACTTTACTGGCTGAGGGAGCTGGCATACAGCTTCCAGGTAATGTGGCCAGCATGACTAAGCCGTTTCTGGCGAACCAGAGCAGTGCATGGAAACACCATTTACCTTACCTATTTATCTACTTGCACTTTGACGTGCTTTCAAACTGCTAGGTTAGCAGGATCAGGGACTGAGCAGCGGGAGCTCACCCCATCGCAGGGATTCGAACCGCTGACCCTCTGATCGGCAAGCCCTAGGCTCTGTGGTTTAGACCACAGCGCCACCCAAAGAGAGCTCTAGTTCTGATTTATTACAGTTTTGGTGAGATGCCAGCTTGTTAGAAGATACAAGGAGATAAACACTGGAAGTGGTCCAGAAGTCTTGGCTGGGCCCTGGATTGCTTTCGGTTTCAAAGCAAAATGGAGAAGTTATGGCATACTTATAAATGAGTTCTCAAAGGAGGGGCAATGTTGAAGAAAGTTGACTGGTTGCAACATGAAGCAAAGAAGAAGGTGAAGAAATATTTCACAAAGCTACAGGATATAAATTTCCTCTGCAAGTTAATGGATATGCATTTATAAAAATACAGTCAATAGTCATTACATCAGTGGATGCTAGAACAAAGGAGTAAGATCAGAATTGTGGAACTTGGACTAATTAAGAGAATTGGCACAGGATCAAGGAATAACATCAACTCCTGATAGCCGGAACATGGGAAGTCATCCAAAAATGTGTCATTCGGAACTGTTTAATTGGCACTTTTGGTTGTATTGTGATTTGGCATGATTTGGCATTGTATTCATGTGGCCTCCACTGGTTTGTTATTAATGAAAAATTAATAAAAATTATTTTTAAAAAAAAATTAGAGAGAGAGAGAACAAGGGAGGCGTTCTTGGTGAGTTCCGGCGCCCCTTTTTCTAGAAAAATAGCACTGCTTTTGTGGAAGATGCACAGTAGCAGTGCTGCAAGTGATGACTACAGAGTGGAAAGAAAATTATGTCTATCAACATCCTCACTTGCTAGAAGGACGGGTCTCATCCAGAAAAGCAGTCACATTCAGTAGGGCTGAGTTGAGTCACCCTAAGTAGGATCACAACAGGCAAGGAAAGCATAGTTGGACAAAACACTGGACCAATACAGGGGATATATTCTTTATTGCAGGTGGGACAGATGAAGGTGTCTGGTTTTGCTATTAGAAATTGCAGTAGACCCACTGGAATTAAAGGATCTAAAAGTTAGTTATGTCCATTAACTTCAATGGGCATGTACTGAGTAGGACTGGCATTCGAAACAACCATTTGGTGATGGGAAGTTCTGCTTCTGCAAATGAGTTTGGCAAACCGCTCTGAGCTGAAGCATTCCTTCCTCATCCACCCTAGAATGTTCAGTTCACATTGAGTTCATGAAACATCGTATCCTGACCTGTTCTTAATGCATGGTTGACCACATCTACGGAATGCGATTGTTATGCTCCTTTAAGTATTGCAATATCAATCACTAGTAATAGTTTAATAAGGAGGTTTTCATACCTGTCCAGCAATATCAATCACTGGTAATAGTTTAATAAGGAGGTTTTCATACCTGTCCAACCATGTGTTCCCTTTCCCAACCTTTAATCTATTAATGATTAATGCCCTTGCATTGTATTTGTGTTAACCAATCAGCAACAAGCACATATGTGGCAATGCTGTAATACTCAATAAAAGGGACTTCCCGAGACATGCTCGGCAGATGCCTCCCATATGACACTTGTCATTCGTCTGTCGTTTATTTCAACCCAACAATTTGGGATCTACACAACACTTCACAACATATCAACATATTTGTTTGTTTGTTTTTAATATATTTTTATTAAAGATTTCTTAGTTTACAAAAGTATGTGCATTTGTCTCTTTTTTCAAGTTGCATTTTCTACAGATCAGTTTCATTTGCTGTGAGACATTAGTGTTACATTAGGAAGAAAAGGGGGAAAGAGGTGGAGGGGGAATGAGAGTTGGGTGGGGTTGGTGGCAATGTTTCTATTCTACTTAGTGTATGTGTGGTGTTTTGTGTCAGCGTCACTTGTGTGGATTCTCTTTACTATTCGCTTGTTGTATTTCTTTGGTGATGAGAGAGGTTGAGGGTGGCCTAGGCCTAGTGTGTGGTTGGTTGTCTTTGATTGGCTGTAGTGAAATTTGTTTTCGTGTATGTGTGCGTGTGTGTGTGTGTGTGTGTGTGTGTTTGGATCAGTTTAGCCAGATTGATTTGTATGCTGTTGGCGGTTTCTTGTTGTTGTCTTGTTGTCTATTTGTCCCTGTGGCAGTTTCAGTTTGTTGGTTAGTTTTTCTAATAAGGCTGTTTCCCATACTATGTGATACCATTGATCCATGCTTACTCCTGACAGGTCTCTCCAGTGTCTGCATATGATGCTTCTGGGTGCTGAGAGTGGGTGGGTTATGAGCTCTTTGTGATGTGAGTGGGATGTTTAGTAGGGCCAGTTCTGGGGTGATTTCTAATACTTGCTTAGTTATTTTGCATATTTCTTGTATGATTGATGGCCGGAAGAGTTGGATTTTGGGGCACTCCCACCACATGTGGAGGTATTCACAACACATTTGTTGAATTAAGAATGTGCCTCCAATTAATCATGCCATTTAAAAAAAGAGTTTAAAATGTTAATTATTTTTAATCTAAGTCCAATAAATCTATAGGTGGCAGGCATCGCCTCAGCAGATGTCTGCCTGCTTCTCCCAGATGGAAGGGAATACCTCTTTTGAGGTCCATGCATCTTCTGAAACTAAAACACCTTTTAAAACTATCTGTTGTTTCTTGTATGCAAATACAGTTAATAAAAATGATTAAGTTTTTAGCAATGATTTTTTAAAAATGGAATTACAGCCTGTTTGCGAACAGTGGTAATTATTTAGCAGGCAATTTGCTGTCATGGGTTATTTTTGTGGAAAATCAGAACAAAGCAGCTGAAGGCCTTGGGGCCCCAAGATGACCCAAAACATTAAAAGTTGAAAAGACGACAAGGTCCCTGCAGAGTGGATTGGCAGACTAAACTACTGGACTATGCAGAGATGGCGAGAATGACTGGGAAAATCAGAAACCAGGAGGATCTAAACTTCAACAAAGAATGGGAGAAATTTACATTGTATTTGACAGACTACTGTAAATATCTGAACTCTTTGGAAGGTCTTAAATAACTCTTGTAATGTAACATAAACTTTGGATACAATGGAGGCCTGAAAATTAGGAGGATTTATGGTATGGAGTTGAAAAAGTTAACCAAAGAACCCATGGAGGGGAGGGGGGAAGTCCCGAGATTCGGAAGAATCTTGTGTGATTTTCATTATTTTTGATTTTGGATGTGAATGAATTTGTAAAATCAAATAAAAATTATTATTTTTTAAAAAAACCACAAAACATTAAAAGTCTTTGCAGTTTTCTGCACTGCTACTAATAGCTCCAGACTATTTTACTTCTGTTGTTTGGAGGCTAACTTTTCTCCTTTATTGCATTCAGATATTTGCTATTTCCCTTGAAATGCCGTAATGTTCCAGAAATGATGTTCTTGGGACAACATTATCCATTCCAGTGGATGGCTCGTAAGTTCACAGTTTGAGAACTTTATGGCTTCTGATAATTTCTTCTTCGGTTTGCAGGAGCATTAATAATCTTCTTTTCCATACAGCAGCATCCAGGGGGCTGAGACAAGCAAGAATGTGATGTTTACTTGTTTAGAATAATTTCACTGCTCCTGTGATTACACTGAACAAAATGGCGTCCCTTCACTCTGCTTCGTGTGTTGGACTCAGGAGATAGGTCCAGGTCAGAGAAGAGGGTGGGAAATGTGCATGGAATCATTCCAGGATGCAGCGGTTCTGGAGTTCACAAAGAAAGGAGATTTTAAAAGGCTTACAGCTTGATCGTATACACTGGCTTACAGTGCCTATACTGTTTTGGCTTATACTGTCCAAAAGCAAAGGTTGTCTTTATGCTGACATGTCTGCACACCTTTGAAGGTGGGCAGTTTTGGGACCAGACCACGGGCCATGCTAGTGATCTGGCAGCTGGGTGGGCTACAATGGGGCTTCCAACCAATAACCTGTGGACATTCGCTGGGGGTCAGGCCCAGCTGGCCAATGAGCACTGGCTGGGCCCACTCCCAGGGGAATACATTGTGGCTGTAGAGACCAGTGCGGGAGAGATATGTTCACATCATGGTATATTGTGAGCAAGTGGTGTTCTGGTGCCCAATGCTCCAACTTTACTCTCTGCTGGCTTGAGCAGGATAAATAAACTGGGAAACATTGGCTTCCTATAACATCTAATTCAGCTATCATCGTTTGTTGTTCTCCAGTAAACCACAACCACTAGCCAAATACAAACCATGACTTGTCGTTCTCTTACTAAGCGTGGGAGCAACAAACCACAATCCCTGATTTGAACGTTAATAGGAAGCCCAGACTTTCTGGCTGGTTTACCCCATTCTCACCAGTGGAAAAGCAAAGCAGGAGTGACTGGGCTATGGGCACCCACATCCTCTTTTTGATATAAACCACAACAAGCCAGAAATTCAGGCATATTGTGATGTGCAAGCTCTGCCGCTCTAAACATACATATGTGAAAGCAACTCCAGCTGAAATCATTCTGAATAAACATGACTAGGTTTGGGCTTTGAAACAGTCTCCTCCAGTAGATGATGGATGGGTGAAAGCAGGAAAGGCTCTGGGGCAAGAGAGAGAGAGAGAGAGCGAGCTCAGTTTTGGAGCTTTAAAGCACAGAGCTGTACCAGGAAAGCACAAGGCAAAAGGTAAGTGTGGCTCAGTCCTTCCCCTCTGTTGCCCGGTAAGGGAATTAAGATCAACAAATGGAACTTGTCTAGCCCAATAATTCTCAGCTTGTGATGACTAGGAGGTGGGCTTCACTGCCTGCATTGTCATTGTGGAATGAACTCCCTGCTTAAATACGACAGACCCAATTGAACTGGCACTCTGCCATCTTTTCAAACGACACCTGTTTACACAGGCATTCCCTTGATCTCTTTGCCTGGGCCTCTTGCTTTAATTGCTGCGTTGTTTTAATGTGTTTGCCTCACTGCATATGCATACTGTTCATTTTTTTCATTTCAAAAACCAGGACACGCATCTTCCGGGACACGCTCCCAGGTGAGTCACTTGACCCTTGCCACAACCTCACCCTGGAAAAAGCGCTTTTTCAGAGCGCATTTTGGGACGCTGCATGAGAGCACAACATGAAAGCGTGGGAAATCACAGCACCCAAAATGGCTTTTGCGATCTCCCACAAAAAATGGGATGTCCTGTTTTTTCCTGGACACTTAGCAGGTATCCATATGCTAATCATTAAAATAAAGAATAATTAAAAATATACCATAATTAAAACCAAAAAGAAAGAAAAATCCCGTTAATTATAAATGTCCATGATTAGCCCATTTATCTGAAGATTGTAGATGTGCTAATCATTCTTTTTGGTTTTAATTACAGTGTATTTTTAATTATTCTTTATTTTAATGATGCAGTACAATGTAGTTTCTTATGGGCAGATCTACACTCGTGGTTTTTCACGTTAAGGAAGGGTTTTGATGATGTATATGGACATATGATGTCCTACTTTTAATGTTCATAATGTGCTATTAAAATGCGACACCGGAAGGCACTGCAGAGCAACCAGCAGTAGGGAGACAGTGTTTTGACCAAAAAAAGGGTTTAAAAAATGCTTTAATTTACAAGTATGCCCTGTGATGTTTTAGAACGACATATCTAAAATCATTCTAATAACATTAAACAGGTCAGTGTAGATCCAGCCTAAGTTTGGCAAATCTCTTTGAAGCCATCTTTGCATTAAGTGGCATATTAATTAAAATATAATAATATTAATATTAATAATAATAATTAAAAAAAAAAACAGTCACAGCAATCTTACTAATATTAGAAGTCTTTGGCCTCCCAGGCATGAAGGAGCTCAGCAATGTTTGTCTCGACCATCCCATTGGGCAGCTTCAAGTCATCAGAGCTGTTCCCATTGAAGTTTCCGCATGGGGCACACAGCTTTCCTGCGAGGGTCTTCTTGACTCCCACTGTCACCTCCCCATCAGAGCGAAGGTGAACCTGCACCTGAGAGGCCTGGTTAATTAGGATCCCATCCTGAATTTCGCTCACAGATATGGCTTGGGAAATCCTGTATGGCAGCCTTACCAGGCGTCCATTTACCTAGAACACATAAAAATTGGGACGTGAGATCTGGCACCGAGGAAGGCCAAGAAGCCAGCAGCAGCCTGAGAACCAAAATCCACGCCAGCCCCGCATGCTATCAGATGGAACACCCTAGAGGCTGTCAAACTTTGCAACTGGAAGTCAAAAAACACTGGAGCCTGTTATGAATAAACGGAAGTTGCATGCTCTAGCTCAGGTAATATTAAATGAATAAAATGAAGAGAAACTGCCAATGGATGCTGCCTTTGAATTCCCAAAGAAGTTGGTCTTGGAGAGATGAGATGAAAAGCTCTGAGAACAAAAGTCTTATTTGATTATGAATTCTCCCCATTGATTCGCTTTAACACTGCTGCAAAGCAAAAGAGCAAATGTCAACGATATAGAGATCCTTCCACAGAATCATAGGGCGACTATGAGGCACAGAATCTGCTGGTGCCCCATCAGTCCATGCATTGGATGAGGAAGCAAGGACAACACTTGATTACAATAAAGAAGAAATGCTTCTTTAAAAAACGAGGGTTTCTCAGCGGTTCTGGATCTACAGCCCTGGCATAAACAATCAGGAGATCCCTCCCACACTGGACCAGTTCCCATGTAATCCTAAACTGTGCTCAGATCTTTTAAGCCTCATGTTGAAGTGTTACCCTCTTCTCCCCGCATTCATTCAGGAGAAGGAATAAATTCACCTGCAATTTTCACTCCCAAGAATTGAGATTCATTTAAAAAAAGCCAGCTTCATCATCCATCATTTGAAATTGGCATGTTTTGCAGTTGAGATAATCTTTTTTTTAAACAAAAATATATTGATCCCCAATTAGTACATAATGAGAGGCCACAGCAGGACAAACAACTGAATCAAGGTTTATTCCTCTTCCTGGCTGTGCAGGAACGGGAAGGGACAGCAATCGAGCCCAATATTTTACTAATGGCTCTCAGATCTTAACACACTGTTCCTCCTGACTTTCTCTTACCCATGTCCTGTGGTCCCTTTTAAGAGTGATGGATGCATTCTGGAAGAAAACATGGACTGCTCTCCCAACTACCAAGACATCGTCACTGTCCTTTCCGATGCTCACTGACACCCTGAACCAGTAGGGGACACTTTCATCACAAACGGTGGCAATGTCATAAACCCCACTGCAGAGGTACTTGCGCAAAGCACCATCGAAGGTAGAGAGTTGGGCTCCTGGAGTGAGTTTGCACTGGTATTCCTTGCTTTCACAGCTGCGCACTCCATTTCTAAGCGTGCATATCTCTTCAGCCTGGCATCTGGTTTTCTCATAAACAAGTTGACCTGTGGCATTGCAAGTTATTTTTTCCGTGCAGTTGCTTGAGAAGATGTCCTCTCCAACCTGTAGGGAAATCCCAGACAAAGGGACATAGCTTTGAGATCTAGAAAAGAGTCTGAATGTTCAAATACACTGCTTTTTTGTTGTTGTTTATTTTATTCATTTGTGAAAATTAGCCCGCTGTCATTCCAAGATCTACATGTAGAAATAGGAAGAGACAGTGATCTAATTCCAGCATATGCTTGTACCATAGGCTCACCAGTTTTCATTCAACATTCATGATGCTCCACCAGCAAAGCTGGCCTTACCTTAATGTACAGACCATTATGCACACAGCCACATTTGTTCATAGGCACACATGCATCCCCATCAGACACGTAGCCGTCATTGCACTGGCAGCCTTCAAAGCAGTTCTTTGAGCATTGCACAACAGTGGACAAGCTGGCACAGGTGAAATCGCAAGATCCAGTGCAAGTCTCATAGTGGCTGTTGGCTGGGCAGGTGAGCGCTGAGAAGACAAATCAAAGCCATGTTTACCAGACATTCTTCATTACATAAAATAGGAAAGAGTCTTCTTAAGAAGCAGGATTTCTTTTCAGCTATTTTCTATTCTCTGTATTGTGTTGTTATACATGCACACACCATTTCCCCAAGTTATGAGAAGTTCCAGGAACAGCAGGTTTCCTTTGGAGGAGAGGTCACCAAAGACTTATGGCTTTTAAATAATAGTTGGGTTTCTTTACAAATATGCACGTCAAGCATAGGTGAAGTCAGAGATAGCAAAGTCTTTGTAAAAAGCTGGAAATCCACTGCCCTCATCAGATACCCAGTGAGGTACGCAATCCCTGCAAGATGTCTCTAGACTTCCAAACCTCAAAGCTCTGACTCTCACTTTTCCTTTCTCCTTTGTTGCTTCTTATCAGGGATGGGGAACCTTCTCCAGATGTTGCTCCACTACAATGCCCATCAGACACAGAAAGGATGGCCAATGCACGGGGATGGTGGGAGGTATAGTGCAGCAACATCTTGAGAACTGAACATTCCTCACATCGGGTTTTAATATACTCATCTATTTTGTGTCCTCTCCATGGATAGAAGATACGTGGGAGAGAAAGGCTTGACGAAACAATGCAGAAGACAAGTAAACTCATAGCACTGAAACCAACATAGCTCAATCAAAGGCTCATACCACTTTGGGTATTGGAGAGACTCACTACCGAAAAGGCAGAGATAAAGAAACCTTTTCATCCAACTTACGACAGAAGGACTTTGTTCTCCAGGCTCCAATCTTGACTCCAGCAGACTGGCATGCAGCTGCATAGGCTTGAAGGCTTCGGCAGAGATATTCCTGCTCCCCTTTGGCTGCAGTCAAATCATACAGGCATTGATTAAGGTAATCCAAGGGGCTTACTAATGAGGAGCAGTCTTTGAATGGTCCTGTCTCGGATGTGATCATTCCACAGGAGTCCTCGTTCTCATACGGTGCTGTCTGGACTGTATCAAAAGTGGGGCATTCCTCACCACAGCCATTGGAGCAGATGGCACCATCCAGAGGGACCTGCCAGGAGGCCCCAAACTCATCCACCGTTTGTGCAGATTCCCCACTAGGCAGCATGAAATCATCCCTCTCGTCGCCATTGAAATTGCCACCCAGACCACACATGTGTCCCTGGTAGGTGCTGGGGACAGTCACACGGACATAGGAAGAGGTATCATAAAGAACTGTGAGGCCAAAGGATGCCTGAAGAATTATATTGATCCCCTCCTGAGTGATCCAGAGTTTCCTCTCGTCTCTATTCACTGGCAAAGTGCAGAATTCTTCATCCACCTGCATCAGCAGAAAGAGGCATATTTATGGGGGTCAGCTCTGAGCACACACAAATTCTCAAGCACACACATATACAAAAGACACACATCTCCTTTTGCACATGCTGTTTTTCATTCCAGTGATCTAAAGAAATGTCATCATTATTTAAAAGCAATTTAATTATTATATCAAATGGTTTTCCTGTAATTTTATGACTGCAAGCTGTCCTGGACTCTCTTTGCATAAGAAGGACATGTTATTCATTTGAAATAATAGGTAAAAGGTAAAGGACCCCTGGACGGTTGAGTGCAGCCAAAAGCGACAATGGGGTGTTGCTTTCATTTCGCTTTCAGACCGAGGGAGCCAGCGTTTGTCCACAGACAGCTTTCCGGGTCATGTGGCCAGCATGACTAAACCGCTTTGGCACAACGGGACACCGTGACGGAAACCAGAGCACACAGAAACACTGTTTACCTTCCTGACAGAGCGGTGCCTATTTATCTACTTGCACTGGTATACTTTCGAACTGCTAGGTTGACAGGAGCTGGGACAGAGCAAAGGGAGCTCACCTCATCATGGGGATTCAAACCACTGACCTTCCGATCAGCAAACCAAGAGGCTCAGTGGTTTAGACCTCAGCACCATCCGCGTCCCTTTTATTTCAAATAGTAATAATAATCTGATATGAGTGGCCCATACATACCACAGCTATCCATTTCCTTCCCCTTTCAAGGACAATAGTGTGCTGATGAACAGAGACCACAACCTTCCTTATCTGAGCAAGGTGTCCATTTCCAAGCTTCTCGTTCTCCACCAAAATGGAGAAATTCTGTAGCCGAGGGTCTGTGCTGCAGACTTTGACAAAAGTGTAAGTGCAGGAGCCATGGAAGCGAAAGCTTTGTCCATCAAAGGAAATATAAAGAGGGTCACCAAGTGCTATAGCTGTACCATATCCCGCAGGGTGACAGCCTTGGATGCCGTTCTCCACCCTGCACTCCTCATGCGCTCCACAGGAGAACTGCTGGCACTCGGTGGCTCCATTGTCCAGGCAGCGGCACTTCTCCTGGCAGGAGCTACTGGGATAAAACTCCTCTCCCTTTTTGTAGTATCTGCCCTGGTGCACACAGCCACACTCTGCAAGATGGACGCACTGATTTCCACTGAGCACGAATCCAGGATCACAGGCACACCCTTCGGTACATGCAGCATCACACATTATTGGGGAGGAGACGCTCCCACATGTATCAGAGCAGGCATTTCCACAGAGTTCATAGTGGGAATTGCGTGGACAGGAAAAGCCTGGAAGGAGAGAATGAGTAGAGAGGTGTGTTATTTTCTTTCCCCCTGACCATTGTAATATACAGTGGTACCTCTGGATGCGAACAGGATCCGTTCCAGAGCCCTGTTCGCATCCTGAAGCAAACGCAATCTGTGTATGCGCGTGACATCATTTTGAGCGTCTGCGCATGCGCAAGCTGCGAAACCCAGAAGTAACACACTCTGTTACTTCCGGGTCACCGCAGAGCGCAACCTGGAAATGCTCAACCTGAAGCTACTTCAACCCGAGGTATGACTGTAATACAAACTGCCTCGTATCTGACAAGCCATGGCTACTAAGCACTGTGGCTCTATTGTACCTCTACTGTCAGAGTGTCGGGATACTGTCAGCGGCTCCCAGCAGGCTGCTCAGGAAGGTGTAAAGGAAAGGTATCTTACCGTCCTTTTTTATTTCACTATTACACAGAGCTGCTATAAAGCCCAGCCACTTGGATAATGCTGTTGTCCTGAGTGAATCTCCCCCCTCCCCCCACCTCTCCCACTTCCTCATTTGTCACTTCTATGGGTGCTGCTACATGCCCTCTGTCTTTGAGCTCTTTGCTCTCCTACTTTTAAGGCTTGCTGGGTTCTGGGAGATTGGGGGGGGGGGTGGTAGTCTCCACCATTTCTCCTCTGCCCAGTCCCTGACACAGAGACAGTGTACATTGCTGGGAATCACAAGTGGGGAGATGCTATTGCATTCAAGTCCTGCTTTAGAGTGTCCCATAGGTGCATGACTGCAAAAACAGGAAGCTGGACTGGATGGGCCATTGGCCGGCTCCATCATGCTCTTCTTACATTCCTATGAGCCAGTCCACTGATCCGTCTAGCTCTGCAGTGTCTACCCGGACTGGCAAAAATACTCTAGGATTTCAAGCACGGTTCTCCCCCAGTGGTACCTGGAGGTGCTGGGAATTGAACCTGGGATCTTCTCTATACAAAGGACAAGCTCTACTGTGGAGCTACGGTCCTTTTCCAAGAGCTTAGGGAGCTAGACAAGCCATTAATTTTACCCCGCTCTCACAGTAGCCACTTGAAGAAAGCTCCCCACGTAGAAGGAGCAACAGGATGATTCTGCTTGCCCAATTTCTCGTGTCGTCTGGGTCCCTTGAAATGCCCTGAAATCCATGCATTCTGTCTGTGCAGAATATCTGCACAGAGGATGCCCACACTCATTTCTGGAGCAAAAATGAAACTGAGATTCAGGAAGTAATACTTACTGCAGAAAGAGTCTGATCTCCATTTCTCAACCTCGATGCCCAGAGCTTGGCAAGCTGTCACATAGGCACTGATGGCACTGCAGAGAGTGTCATGATGACCCTTGTATTGACATGTGTCGAAAACGCAATCATCGAAGTAAGGTGTTGGGTCAATGGTCTCATGGCACTGCCTGAACGGCCCATCCCTTCTCTTGAGGATCCCACAGAACTGGTCCCCCTTGTAGGTCTGCTTCTCTGCCTCACTGCATACTGGGCAGTCACTGCATCCTGCAGAGCATCCTGGGACCTCCTTAACTTTCCAGCTGTCTGCAAACTGGATTTCATCTGTTGTCTGAGCTCCATCCTTCATAGCAAAGTCATCACTGGGGTCCTGGTTGGCATTGCCACACAGTCCGCACACAGCATTGGCATAAGTGCTGGGAATAATGACCCTGGCATAACTGTACCAGTCAAAGCTAACTCTCAGATCAAAGTCTGTTTTGATGAAGCCATGGACTCCGCTGATGTAGACCTTCAGTTTATTTTCGTAGGAGAAAGGCAGGTCCACAAAGACTCCATTCACCTGGAAAACATGGAAGTGACCGTCCAGGGATTTTCAGTTAAATCAGAAAAGGATGGTGATTAACTGATATACAAATGTAGCATTATGTTATACAGGGTTTCAAAGCTGGTGAAAGAGATTAGTTGCCAGATGAGAGGGCTAAAATTATGGGCACAAGGAAAAACACATTTCTCCTATGGACAGTTAAAACAAATCTATTGCATGAAGGCAGCGCCTCTATGTTCCACTGGCTTTTAGGCGGACTTGGCCATCTCTTCCTAAATCCTCTACTGTGCTCCCCTCGGGTCAGGCTCTGCACCAGATGCCAGGGGTGGTAGCTATCCTGCCTACAGCCCAAACAGCTTTGCCATTTCGGCCACTCAGCTGCATTGCAGCTGCAAAGTCCTGCTCACTCATCCTCCTCCCCTCTTGGTCCTATGCTCACTCATCCTCTTGGTCCTATGCTCACTCATCCTCTTGGTCCTTGCTAACTCATCCTCCTCCCCTCTTGGTCCTATGTAGATGGCTGCAGAGACACTTTTAGATAGGAGCTGAGTGACATCCAGCATTGCATGTGTATGAGATATAACATAGCAGCCACTCAGCACAGAGTAATTCTTCAGCTCCCATCCCTAAACTGTTGCCAGGGAAACAAGTCTGCAAGGGTGGAGGGAGGAGGGAGGAGAATTATTGGTGATGAATGAATGACTCCCTACCCTTGTACCAGCTGGTCCTCTCACAGCAAAGTATGTAATCAACAGTTCCACCAATCTTCTCTTGTCACCTAGCATATATACCTTAATCTTGCGTGGATGCTCTTGGCTCAGGCTGATGGTCATGCCATAGACCTCTAATGTCACCACTTTGGTGAAGGACACCGCCTTGCTACCTCGGTTGTTGTTCTCCACCGTGACCAAAAACGGGGTGAGAGTGGGGTCCTTGGAGCAGACTCCAGCCATTTGATAAATGCAGGTTCCCATGAAGTCAAATCTCTTTCCATCAAAAGTGGTGTAGTGAGGGTCTCCAGTTCCTATGCAGGTGGAATAGCTGATGGTATGACAGCCCCAGTTCCCATTAACTAGGGCACATCTCTCTCTGGCCTTACAGGAATCCTGCAGGCACACAGCCCTCCCTAATCTGGGGTTACATTTGCAGCGACTACGGCAGCTTTCATCAGTCCAAAACTCCTCCCCAGGACCATAGATCTTGTCATTATAGGTACAGTTGCAATTCTCCTCTGGGATGCACGTTTCATCACTGAGGATGTAGCCCTCGTCACACTGGCAGATCGGCACACAGGTGTCATCACACGTTTCGGGAGCGGTTCGGTCAGAACAGGTGGCTGGGCAGGCATTTCCGCAGGACTCATAGTGGCTGTTCTCAGGGCAGGATATTGGAGCCAGTTCAGAATCTGATTGAAACAAGGATTAAAACCCATTCAAGTCATTTCTCAGGTCTATAGGTCTATCAAGATATCTTTGCTAACTGAGATAAGTAAAGGGAAAAGGTAAGCGACCCCTGGATGGTTAAGTCCAGTCAAAGGTGACTATGGAGTTCCAGCGCTCATCTAGCTTTCAGGCCAAGGGACCCGGCATTTGTCCGGGTCATGTGGCCAGCATGACTGAACTGCATCTGGTGCAACGAGACACCATGATGCGGGTCATGTGGCCAGCATGACTGAACTGCATCTGGTGCAACGAGACACCATGATGAAAACCAGAGCGCATGGAAACGCCATTTACCTTTATCTACTTGCACTTTTTTGGCGTGCTTTCAAACTGCTAGGTTGGCAGGAGCTGGGACAGAGCAACAGGAGCTCATCCCATTGCGGGGATTTGAACCGCCAACCTTCTGATCGGCAAGCCCAAGAGGCTCAGTGACTTAGACCGCAGAGGCACCCGCATCCTGAGATAAATGCACTTAAAGAGGGAATGAGTTGTTTTATTGTCAGCTGACTTGGAATTAAGTGATAGGACCATCAAATGGGACGTCAGGCCAACATGGCTACCCACAGGCCCTTCTGATAATTTGCTATCCTTTTATGGCTTCATTTTATGTATGGTTGCCGTTACATATACTGCTTCGAAATAGCAAGAATTAAGTGGAATAGAAATGCATCAAATAAATAAAATCACTGAAAAGCAATCTTATTGTAAACACTCCCATCCCAAGAACTTCGGGGAGTCACGTATGCTTTGATACATCTGTGTCAGAGGACTCATTTGTGTGCCCACCTGTGACAGAAATAAAATTGCTAGGCATATGGGGCAGGGTCTTCTTGGTGGTGGCCACACATCAGTGGAATTTGCTTCCAAGTGAGATCCCTGCAGTTTTTTCAGGGATTTTTTCAGTGGGCCCTAGAGGTACATATCACTTTTATGGAGTGATTTTAGCAGGTTATTGGCTTGCAGCTGCTACTGCTTTTATTCTGTTGATAATTGTGATTTTATGACAGATCATTGTTTCTAATTCTAATGTATTTAGGGGTGTTTTTTTTTAAGTGTGATGTTTTAAATTACCTTATGCTACATTTGCTATGTGACGAGTTTTTCCTAAAAAGTAAAATTTTAGAAAAACTATTCTAAATATACAAACAAATTTGCAATGTTACAGTTAGGCAATCAAGAAGAAAGAAGTGGGGGGGGGATAGCAAAACTGCCAGATTATGATGAGCTTTTCTGGAGGAGACGCAAATATACACATTCACCCCTGCATGGAGATAGATGTGGGAGGGACCTGTGTATAGTGATGCTTTATGATTGGCTGTGTTGTGCAAAGAGATGATTGGCCATAGCACAGGAGATCTCTGTAAAATGAACTTATACTGGATAGGTGGCAAATACAGATTAAGGATCTCCTGGAGAAATTATCCTTGCAAGCTGGTTCCCCACCAACCCCAATACATCTACATAGGATGTAAACCCAACATGAAACTTAAATTACCTGGTAAGACAAAAGGTGGTGGAGCAAAGCCATAGCCTTCATAGTTTCGGCCACCAAAGACCAAGACGCCAAAAGGAGTTTGAGGATGTGCTACAGAGATGGACTGATGCCTGGGGCCCAAGTTGTATACAGCCCATGAATAAGGTGAGCTGGGAATCATTCTCCATTGAACACCTGTGATAGCGGTCTCATCTCGGGTAATCCTCTGAGTTTCAGAGCTTTTTGCTATGATAACGACATAGTTCTCAAAATTCTTTATCCCATCAACATGGTAGGATAGGCCATAAGTTGTTATGGCTGGGATGTTGATGAGGAATGGGTCATAGCCTGTGTTTCCCGACTTGAGGCCAGTGAAGAAGAAGAGGACCTGGATCCCAGCATTAGCAGAGATGTAAAAGGCATTAGGGAACTGGATCTCAAACTGCCTAACTTCACCAGCCACCATATCTTGAGAGCCTTTCTGTGCTCCCAGCTGATAGTCAACATGAGTGTCCTGGGAAGCCACCACATACACAATGTCAGGATTGGTCTGGAAAAACACCGGGGGGACGACAAAGGTGCTGCCCCAGCTGGAGACCGGCAGCAGCTGCTCGACAACATGGTCACACTGGTAATTTTGCACCACACAGACATGCCCACTCAAGACGGCCACGGGTGTTGACGACTCGATCCTGGTGCCCGACAAATCATTTGAGCTTTGCAGCTGGGCAACCTGGAATGCCCGGAGATAAACTGTGATTCTTGTCCCTGCGGCGTATGATGTCCCACCAAAGATCACATTCCCTTTTAGGTAAATACGAACTGTGGCAGGAGACTGTGAAGCGATGACTGCGAATTCTTTTAAGTAGTTGGGCGGTTTGGTACTTGACGGGGTTATGACATAATAGGTTGTGCCAAGCTCATGGGATGGATACAGAGCTGTGGTTGCCACGGAATACAACTTCCGGTACAGTAAGACAGCAGAAATGTCCTTGTCAGCCTGAATCAGAACAGACTGATCAAATGTGGTGCTGCCTTTCATCTCTGCAGTCACTGGGATCTGAACAGGCACCATTTCACCTTCTGCAACTGAATATCTTTTCCGGAAGGCCAGTCGACTCACTGACACAGTTACTTCAGTCAGGTTGTGGTGGCCAGTGAGGAGCAGCTGAAAGTTTGATTCGGAGGCTCGGCTCGTCTCAAAATTTTGCATGAAGGCCGTGACAAATTGTTTCCCATAGTACCTTGCGCTCGCGTGACCTGAAGAGGTTAGGACATAAAATTCACAAAGAGATTTTGGAAAACGATAGCAATGAAATATCGGCGTAAACATCAGCGTGTGAGGACATACTGCAAATAACAGACTTAATAGCTGCCAAAAAAAAATAAAGGAGAGTCATACAAAGTTCACGCAGAAGTATATTATCGTTCACTTCAACTTGCCTGTGGAAATAACTCAGAGGCCATGAAAGAAGGAGGATAACAACAGGAGGATTTAAACAAAGGACTATTGGAAACTCAAGGCAGTAAAAAGATAAGATGACTGGACCCCACTGAACTTGAAGCATGGGAAGCCCCAACAAAAAATTTAAAATTTGGCAAAATATTTGGACTTTATGATATGTATTTGTATAATCTGGAATATTTAATGTGATCTAATTGGATTGTTAAAATGGAAAACTTAATAAAAATTATTATAAAAAAACAATAGCAATGAAATATCAAAGCAAAAAAGAAATCAGATGAAAAGAAAACTTATTATATATCAAGGATGCTGTTGGACTGCAGTTCCCATCGCCCCTGACGATTAGACATGCTGGCTGGGTTTGGATGGGAATTTGAGCCCAACAGCATTTGAAAAGACCTTTGGTTTAAGCACAAAACATTTGACCTAAAATCTGCTCCACGGCAACACATTCTGCTTTGCAGCAAAACCTCCCTGGTTCTGCTTGGTTTTCTTTCAGTCTAGTCTTTGGATTAGGAGAAAACCCACATGCCAATCATATGATGTCATTATGACATCACCATTGGCAGGCGAGTTGTCCTGCCCATCTGTCAAAATCCCTTGCACAGGGTTCTGAAGCGCCCATGTGCATGGGGAGTGCAGTGAAAGCGGCATTGCCAACCCTATGCTCAGTGCTTTGGAAAATGCCCAGCATGGGACTGGAAAAGTGATTCTTTCTCACCTCCCCATCAACTGATGTGGGCGGGGGGGGGAGGAAAAAACCCTGCTATTTGTGAGAACTCATTCTTTCAGCCAATGCATGTGGAAAAACATCTCTGCTTCCTTTGGTTGCACTCACCTGTTCCTGGTTTGTTTTAAGTGTTTTAATGTTGAATTTTAGATTCTTGCAACCTGCCCTGGGACCCGCTGGTGAAAGGCAGGCTATAAATTGCATTGTTGTTGTTGCTTGTCTTTTTAAAAATAGGGTGCAGATTCAGAAATAAATGCATCCCCAGTCTGGATATGAATGTTCTGTATGTGCATCATCAGCACATGAGAAAGAAGCAGGAGCAATATGGGTGCTCTATGTGCAGTTTCCTAAGCTATAGAAAAGAGAGAGAGAGAGAGAGAGAGGGAACACCCAGCAGCTGAAGTGAGGAATGCATATACATCTTAATTGCTTTTGTACTAATGTCGGTCACCCCTTTTGCAAAAAGGGGGGGGGTGGCTGGGCATTGACTGACTAGATTCTGTCCTCGTGATTTCTTCCTCTAAAAAAAGTGCATGATGTGGAATTGAAAGTCCGGCACGCTTCAGCTGCTCCTCAGTTCTGCTCCGGACGTATAGCAGAGTGTTGCGATCAGCGGTGTGTGCTTTGTGTGGAGGAATCTCAGACGTGCAGAAAAACACTCCGTACACAGCTTCTTTCTAATCTAAGAAGCTTTATTTATAGCAGAGAAAATAAATCAGCAGTCCGGGAGAGCGAGCAGACATGCTGTCTCTCCCCTCATAGCAAAAACAAAAGTAATCTCAGCTCACATAACAAAGCATCAAAACCCCATATGTGCACACCCCCATGGACAGGACATCACTCCATGAGCTATTAACCCTGTGAGTTTTGGTTCTCCTCACACACGACTGTGCATGCACTGCTGCTGGGTACAATGGAAGGTTCTCCCTCTCCCCCCCTCCCAACCTCACCTAAATTTGTTAGGGGCTCCCTGAACCCTCCTGAGCAGATTTGGGGAAGGCACAGGTTCAGAGCAAGGAGAGAGGGGGTGTTCCATTGCACAAGGGTAAATCCTTGCGCTAATGGAACAAGTGAATTGGATACCACCCAGGGGCTGTAAGTGGGCTAAACCAGTGTATTGTCTCCCCCTCTCACACTTCTATACCCAGCCCGTCATTGTGGTCTGTGAGAGGGGGCCTCTTGCAGAGAAGATCTCGCCAGAAGCTCTGCACCACATAATATAGGAAGTGGGCATTTGCCGTTTTGGCACCAACCGTCTTGAACTCACTCCTGTTACCTATCAGACAAACATCTCTATTGTCTCATTAGGGCCTATTGGAGAGCTTCTTGTTCCAGCAAGTTTTTCCAGTGCAGTCTCTCTCTCCACCCCATTGCAGTCAGTCTCTGTACTGGACTTGAAATTGTTGCTGCTTATTATTGTTGTTAAATCACCGTGGAGTGTTTATGGGAAGTGAAGCAAATAAAACAGGCCACTGCTGTATGTGCTTAAGTTGTGGCCAGATTCAGGTACATCCAGTGGCTACAGCGGATTACTCAGTGCCAGGAAACTGTTCAAAGGTTTTCAGTGGAAGAATAGATTTCACAATATTTGCGGAATTCTGGTAGTGATTAAACAAATGCATTCAGCAGAGATAAGGGTGATGTAGGGAGGGAGGCATCTTGATAAAACGGCTTCTTTCTACAAAATATTTTGATTCTCATTGTGGTGCATCTGTTTTTACTAATTGCAGTGAAGGCCATAGCTTGCTTTTTTCTGAGTTAATGTGTAATACTGTATTTAATGTGGGATGTAATTTGGCCATTAGGTCTAGGCAACCTGTGACCCCTCTAGACGTTACTGGACTCCTGTTCCCATCAGCCTCAGCCAGCATGGCAAATGGTGAGAGATGATGGGAGTTGTAGTCCAGTAAATATATGGAGCGTGATCAGGTTCCTCATTGCTGTGCTGCCTAACAATGCATACTGATAACTGCATGTGTAACCTGAAGAGGAAAAGGGATCTGATCCCAGGTTACTCACCACTCAGGAGCGTCAAACCAGCCAGAAGGGTGAGGAGCCTCAGCATCGCCATGGCTGCAAAACAAGGAATTTTAGAATAAATATTAAACATGATTTCAGGACCGGGGTTTTCTCGATTCAGAAAGCTATGGTAGCAATGATGGAGATTTTTGAAGAAACATAACCTTTGAGCTGAAGTAGGCACTACACCTATAACAAAAATCAACAGCAGCAGCTTTTCCCAGTATGGAGGTGCAGTGATGGAAAAGGACTTTGTTTCTTGCAAGAACTCCAAAGGCCCATATAGCAGCAGTGGACCAAAAAAGGTAGATCTCTGCCAGATATGCAGTGGAAGGGCAAGGGGCTCCTCTCTTCTGATTGCTTAACTGCAATAACAAAATAATTTCCCACCCATCCCTAAATGGGCTGCTGAAATGAAGAAAGATAGCCAGGAGGGGACTTCCGCCAGAAAGGACTGTGAGCTCAGCTCAGTTCAGGTACTGAAAACAAATCCCTAGGTTCATAATGTGCTTATACAGTAAGCACCCTGTTCTTTTAATTCTGACTGTATGTCTTTTGCAGCTGGCTGTGGTTGGTGTAGCTTGAGGTTCTATTAAAAACTGGGTGGTGGTCAGGCAAGGGTACTTAAGTCTAAGTGTAGGAGTGGCCAATTGTTGCTCCAACACTCCAGCTCAGAGCATAAGCCCAGGGAGGTGCGACAGCTACTTAGGTACCAGAAGTGTTTGTGGTTCATTATGCACGCGTGTGTGTGTGTATGTGCGCTTAGTGCACCTCAGGAGCTACTGTAAATTTGTGGTTAGTCGATAAAGAATTAAAGAATTAAACTACCAGCCATTTGTCCTCCTGGAGCTGGGTGTGCTCAGGCCAGTTAAATACCTTAAAAGACTTTTAGGAAGGCCAATTGTTATCAGATGGAGACCTGAACTGGCCACTAGATTGGAAACTAGATTGGAGGGGAAAATTAAGGCGCTCCTCTGTATACAATCCAGGTAATTTAGAATGTCTTTTGAACCTTGCTAAATCCACTAGAGGATTCTTAATCTTTCTTTTCAAACCGTAATAGCTCATATAATAGAACTGGTTATTTAATAAGTTCATTGGATTTTATTGCAAATATTAAGCAGGTTTCAATGGGACCAATAGTAATCTCTGGTCCCAGTACGCGAGATGCTACCCTGCACGACCAACTAGAAACAAAACAGAGATCTACTTGGAGACTTAACCCACTCCTACTCCAAAAGAGAGAGATACTAGACAGAATCAAACAAAAAAATGGGGAATTCTATGTATATAATGACCCCTTACAACATGCAGAGGCTCTATTATATTGACATACTAAAGGCAGATGCAAATTTATTAGTCAAAACAGCTGGTGCAGAATTCAGTGGCAAAGTTGCTCACTGGGGCAAGACTGCTCATTTTGACTGAACAGGCATGCACAGCCAAACTTCCTTCTTCCTGCCCAATGCCTTGACCCTTGACAGCCTCAAATCACTCTGGGAGGCTCAGCCAAGGGGGCTGTTTGATGTGACCAAAGTAAAGATCTCACCAAATTGGCCTGATTCAGTTCAAGCGTCAGACTTCAGACTTCTGCCAAATCCAGTGTACAGCCCTATTTTTGATGTGAACCTGCCTAATTTGCACTTCCCCTAAATAATCAAATCACAGCTCCCTGTTGAATTTTGTACCTCTGAATTTTGCATTGAAGTTCTCCAACCAAACAAAGTGTAATAAAAAAATGCATATGTTAGGGGAATTGCATATATTAGTGAAAATAACATGCAAAAATGTATTATATATGGGGAAACTGCATGCAAAACGGTGTATAAAAAATTGCACTGAAATTCTGCCGAATTTTCATGGGAATTTACAAAAAATAAACTAAAATTGCACACTGATGCAGAAATGTGGAGAACAGAAGACCAGAAAACTAAGAGAAACCAGAATTGACAGATTCATCCACCCCTAGAAAGACTCACTCTGCCAAACTCACCTCACAGGATTGTAGTGAGGGTAAAATGGGACGATGGAGAAGAATAAGGTACCTGAGCTCCTTAGAGGAATAACAGGGGAGAAATGGAAGAAAATGATCACAATAAAAACACTCTGAATCCAAAGCAGCCTCTTACCTTCCACTTTTCAGCAATTCTAACTTGGCTTGATGTAGGAGAGAGGAAAACTCTTTCTCTGCTGCTGTTCCCCTTTATATAGAGAGAAGGGCTCAAAAAGTGAAATTCCACAGAACTGGTCTGAAAGCTCTGTCTGTGCCAGGAAGGCAGCTGCAGTTATTTTATCTGTTTGTTTTGTTTGATTTTCACCCCCACTCTCCCTCCCAAAGGAGCTAAGCAAGAGACAGTGAGCTACAACTATATAAATCTGTATTTCTGGCTCCTCTGATTGATTTATGCAACTCTCAAGAACAGCTTGAGAGTTTTGAAAGACTGAAGTCCTCCAGATTCCACCTGACTGTAAGTTCTTGAAGAACCGCCTCCCTGCTCCTCCATCCACCTCATCCGTCTGACCTAAACACATGCAGGCCCTGCGTGATTCCAGCTTCAAGAAGTCACTTCTTCTCCAGAAGAAGGGTACCAGGAGCCAGCAGCCTGTCAAGAGATAAGCTGCTCAGTTTTAATTTAAACAGCCAACCTCTTGGAAAGCTTATCCCAATACAATACAGTGGTACCTCGACTTACATACGCTTCAGGTTATGGTACATACGCTTCAGGTTACAGACACTGCTAACCCAGAAATAGTACCTCGGGTTAAGAACTTTACTTCAGGATGAGAACAGAAATCGCGCAGCGGCAACGCGGTGGCAGCAGGAGGCCCCATTAGCTAAAGTGGTATCTCAGGTTAAGAACAGTTTCAGGTTAAGAACGGACCTCCGGAACAAATTAAGTTCTTAACCAGGGGTACCACTGCATGTTGTTGTTGTTGTTTAGTCGTTTAGTCGTGTCCGACTCTTCGTGACCCCATGGACCAGAGCACGCCAGGCACTTCTGTCTTCCACTGTCTCCCGCAGTTTGGTCAGACTCATGTTTGTAGCTTCGAGAACACTGTCCAACCATCTCGTCCTCTGTCGTCCCCTTCTCCTTGTGCCCTCCATCTTTCCCAGCATCAGGGTCTTTTCCAGGCAGTCTTCTCTTCTCATGAGGTGGCCAAAGTACTGGAGCCTCAGCTTCACGATCTGTCCTTCCAGTGAGCACTCAGGGCTGACCACTGCATATCATAGTGTATATATTCGATGACAACAACAACAAGGTCTTCTGTGGTTGCACATTCTAAACCATTCGCCATGGCGGCCAACCTCTCTGATCGGCAAGCCCAAGAGGCTCAGTGGTTTAGACCTCAGCACCACCTGCATCTCTCTCTTGTAAGGGCCAACCGTGTGTGTGGGGGGGGGGGGGTCAACCTGCACACTTCCATCTGCAAAACAGGAAACTAAACAATGCCACCTGAAAGAAGAGAGATCATAGCAACACTGGTAAATGCTCCAGGCTATATCCACACTAAGTTCATTGAGCTTTGTTCCCGTTGCAACATATGGGGCTTATGTCATGACTCACTTACCATATCAATTACAGTGGGAACTGAGTTCAACTTTTGGTGAACCAGGAAGCTGCCTTACACCAAGACAGGTGTACCTGAAGCTGCTGGGGACTGAACCTGGGTCCTTTATCATGGAAATCAGCTGCTCTACCTCTAAATGATTACCCTTCCTCTTAATCTGGATCCAACCCTCCTACAGCACCCATAGCAAGTCTGTCATAAGGCACTAGCCATTGTTTTGCACCCTCACACTATGCATGCATGGGAGTCACTGAAGTGCCCACTGGTGGCTAAACAATCCTGACGTCACCTTTCACTGGCTTTCTCCAACTCCAGATGTTTGCAACTATAGCTCACATAATCTCTGGCCATGGGCTGTGTCCTGTCCTATACAGTGGTACCTAGGGTTAAGAACTTAATTTGTTCTGGAGGTCCGTTCTTAACCTGAAACTGTTCTTAACCTGAAGCACCACTTTAGCTAATGGGGCCTCCTGCTGCTGCTGCACCGCCGGAGCACGATTTCTGTTCTTATCCTGAAGCAAAGTTCTTAACCCGAGGTACTATTTCTGGGTTAGCGGAGTCTGTAACCTGAAACCTATGTAACCTGAAGCGTATGTAACCCGAGGTACCACTGTATTGTACACTTAACACGTGATCTCATCTATGCAAAATTCAGATTTCCTGGACAGCAAATGAGCAACAAGGCACCAGGTTAGAATTTCAAGTACCTGAATGCATGTCATATTGCCAATATAGGCAATAAAAGACATGTTGAGCATTCAGAAGCAACGCAAAGCTACAATATCAAGCACACTTGGCAAACTACAATTCCTAAGATTCTCTGGGGAAAATAAGTGCTTTAAAAGTGCACTGGGCATGCTTTAAATGGATCATGCAGATGGTGTAAAAAAACCCAAAAAACAGTGGGGAAATAATAAAGACAGGAGAGGGAGAGGAGCTTAATGGAAACCAAGAAAAAACATTTTTTTACCAGCCTCCTTCAGGTTTGATCCAGAGTCCGTAGAAAGGAGCTATTGCTCAAGAGGTGCAAAGTGGACCTCAACCGAGATCTCTCGAACATAGGAATGTGGGGATTTGACTGGGAGGGTGGGAAATGGAAGAGGGGCTCTTATGAAGGGCAAGCAGGAACTTTGGAGGTGAAAAATAACAAAGGGGAATTCTTGTGCAACAAAGCAGTTGTTGAGATTAGAGTACAAATCTTTAAGTGGTCCTTGGTGGGGGATTTCCCCAGCTGCTTAATAGGAAAGCTTTTGTTTTCCCCTTGGCAAATAGAAGGAGCAGGAGATTCTCAGGAATTGTAGTGTTTCCCTTTCCCCACCATGGGTGTTGAGTACAAATGTGTGTGGGGTCAGGCGCGGAAAAGGGGGGTTATGGTGTATCCTTTTTGGGGGGCATGACCTTAATATAGGGGTACAGAACTCTTTTTCATCCTGAGTGCCACATTCCATCACAGGCAGATGGGAATGCACTGGCAAAGCAGCACCCAGCAGGACTGAACCTCCTGCTCTCCACAGTACATTTGATGGGCTGGGGGACCATACGTCTGACAAACCGTTAGAGCTGTGCGCCGGAATTGCCCAAGGCCCAAACCAAATCAGGCAGGTTTGGGGTGATCTGGGTGTTGGCCAACTCAGACTGAGACAGCCCTGGAGCACTGTAGGTCAGGCTGGGTACCCAAAGTGATCTGGGACTCTCATAAGGCAGGAAGGAGAAGTTAGGAAGAAAGGAGAAACCACAAGAGGTCAGCTGTGTCTTCTCTGGAGGTGGGTTGAGGCGGGTGGCGGTGGATGCTTTAGATATGGGAGGCAGGGTGCTCTCTTTCGCCTGACCTCTCCTTTTTCCTGCCTGATGCCACTAGAGACTCCTTCCTCCGCAATGCCCCACCCCTGAAGCAGCACCTATTGGCCTTGATGCCTCTGCACAACAGCTGCTGGACAGGGAAGAAGAAGAAGAAGAAGAAGAAGAAGAAGAAGAAGAAGAAGAAGAAGAGGAGGAGGAGGAGGAGGAGGAGGAGGAGGAGTTTGGACTTGATATCCCGCTTTATCACTACCCTAAGGAGTTTCAAAGTGGCTAACATTCTCCTTTTCCCTTCCTCCCCCACAACAAACACTCTGTGAGGTGAGTGAGGCTGAGAGACTTCAGAGAAGTGTGACTAGCCCAAGGTCACCCAGCAGCTGCATATGAAGGAGCGGGGAATTGAACCCGGTTCACCAGATTACGAGTCCACTGCTCTTAACCACTACACCACACTGGCACACAGGGTATTCAACACTGCAGGAATGAACTTTCCCACCCTGCTCTCAAGTTGATGGGAGACTGGCCCACCCTCACCGGCAGAGGAAGGGGGTGAAGTGGGTGGGGCCTGCCCCGAGTGTCATTAGCCCCTCCCCCACAGATGGCTAGCCCCACCCCCGGGTGCACAGCATGTGCACCACTCCAGGTGCCGGAGCAGTTAGCTTCGCTTCTACTCACCCTCTGTTAGCTATGCATGGGGTCACCCATTTGTCAATGCCATGCATATAGTGTCAGGTGTCAAGGGATGGACTTAGGAGGAATGGTGGGAACCGCCCCCCCTTCCTGCACCTTCCCAAGAAGAGGAGGACAGTATAGATTTAGAACAGTGGTCTGCAGAAGGGCATAGTTCAGAGGCTGCAGAGGGGAGGAGCTGGGAAATATTGGGAGAGCAGCAGGAAGAAGAAGCACCAGAGGAGAGACAGCTAACAGACTCAGTGTCTCTTGAAAGCATTCCTGACGCCCCCCCTCCCAGAACAAGGTGTGACTTGAGAGTAACAGAACAGAAAACTCAGAGGCAGAAAGCACAGATCAGCCAGTGCAGGGGTGATGTAGAATAGGAGGGATGGAGGGGGTAGGACTTTACTTGGAGCAACACCATTATCTAAGAGAGACAGCATTCCTTCATATCTCTCTCTCTGTGAATATTGAATAAACTACATGGTAAGAACTCTTCTTGTTATTCTGCTTCTTGGCATCCCACCGTGAGAGGGATAGGGTCTCCTCAAGCCTAGATATCAGGTGAGTCAACTTCAAAGGAAGCATCAGGTGCAGACTCCAGCTGCACTCCGAATTCTGCCTTTGCAGTCCTGGCTTGAAGTCAAGCTGTGGCAGCATAGATTCCTGATGAAAGCAGGGCATCAGTTGCACTGTGCAGCAATGGGCTCCACTTGGAAGTTCCAATGGGGAATTTCTAGCTCACCTTGGTATCTGTTGAACTACAACACTCCCTGGCCCCAGCCAGCATGGCCAATTGTAAGGCACGACAGGCCTTGTCATCCACAAGATCTGGAGGACAATATATTCATGCCCCACCCCCCAGATTTGTGCACATGTCAATAAAAGAGTCGGGCCATTTTACTGCAGATTGAAAGGTAGGATTTGCATAGGCACAAGTCCCTAGGACACAGTGTGCATTGGAAAACACCTCTGATTTCAGTTCTTTGCAACATCGGGGGTTGCTCAATCCATTGCTTGAAAAGGACTGGCATGGTTTTAGGGAACTGTACATTATGGAGATGAAGCAACTTTAGGCAGCTGTGGTTCATTTCGACCTGTGGTTCAATTTTGGGGAACTGTGGTGTCCGTTTCAGGAGTGTGTTGCAATGGATTGCGGTTGTGCTTCTCCACGGCACAGCACATGCTTAGCATGCAGAAAGTCCCAGGTTCCGTTCATGATATCACCATGTAGGGTGGAAAGAGATACCCCGCCTGACACGAGCTGCTCCCTATCTGTGTGAGCAATACTGAGCCAGATGGACTGATGGCCTGACTGGGTATAAGGCAGCTTCCTATGTTATTAAACTATTTTCTGATACCTGCTTTG